GGCGAATAAAGGGACCCTCTGAGACGAACGGGGGCTAGAGCCCAGAGGGCCCTCTCAGGCACTCAGAGGGCCCTCTCAGGCCCCGAGGGCCCTCTCAGACATCTCGAATAGGTCGAAAAGAGCCCTCTGAGGTCAAAGAGGGTCCTCTGAGATAAAAAAGGCCCTCGGAGGCAACAGAGGGCCCTCCAATGCAACAATAGAGCCCCCTGTGGTCACCAAAGGGCCCTCTGAGGCGAATAGGGGGTCCTTTTAGGCAAACAGAGGGCCCTTTGAGGCAAACAGAGGGCCCTCTGAAGGGGCGAATAAAGAGACCCTCTGAGACGAACGGGGGCCAGAGCCCAGAGGGCCCTCTCAGGCACTCAGAGGGCCCTATCAGGCACACAGAGGGCCCTATCAGGCACACAGAGGGCCCTCTCAGGCTCACAGAGGGCCCTCTCAGGCACACATAGGGCCCCCTCAGGCACACAGAGGGCCCTTTCAGGCACACAGAGGGCCCTCTAAAACACACGGAGGGCCCTCTCAGGTACACAGAGGGCCCTTTCAGGCACATAGAGGGCCCTCTCAAACACACAGAGGGCCCTCTCAGGCACACAAAGGCCCTCTGAGACACACAAAGGGCCCTCTCAGACACACAGAGGGCCCTCTCAGGTACACATATGGTCCTCTGAGACACACAGAGGGCCCTCTCAGCCACACAGAGGACCCTCTCAGGTACACAGAGGGCCCTATTAGGCACACAGAGGGCCCTCTCAGGCACACATAGGGCCCCCTCAGGCACACAGAGGGCCCTCTCAGGCAAACTACACAGAGGGCCCTTTCAGGCACACAGAGGGCCCTCTCAAACACACAGAGGGCCCTCTCAGGTACTCAGGGGGCCCTCTCAGGCACACAAAGGGTCCGCTAAGACCAGCAGAGGGCCTGTTAAGACGAACAGAAGGGCCTCTGAGGTACGAGGGTCAATTTCAGGCCACAAGGTATCCTATGAGGCCACCAGACGGCCCTCTTAGATCAAAGATGGTCCCTGGAGGTCACCAGAGGGCCCTCTGAGGTGAACAAAGGGCCCTCACAGCCACCTCAAAGAGGGCCCTCTGAGATCGAAGAGATCAAAGAGATCAAAGAGGGCCTTCAAAGGCCACAAAGTGTCCTCTCAGGCCACTGGAGGGCCTTCTGAGGTGATATGATGCTATGTCAGACCACCATGAGCCCTATGAGGTCATCAGGCCCTCTGAGATCAAAGAAGGTCCTTGGAAGTCATCGGAGGACCCCTTGAAGCCCCTTGAGGCGAACAAAGGCCAGAGGGCCCCCTTAGACACCACAAAGAAGTAAAAAAGATCCCTCTGAGTTCAAAGACAGCTCTCTGAGATGTAATAGGGCCATTTGAGGCCTCTGAGGGCCGCTCTGATGCCACAGAGAGGCGCCCGCTGATACCAAAATAGGGTCCTCTGAAGTCTGAAGCCACCAGAGGGCCCTCTGAGGCGAATAGCGGGTCCTCACATCCACTTCAAAGAGGGCCCTCTGAAAATAAACTGGCCCTCGGAGTCAGTGTCCCAAAATTGTATTTTGGCTTGGGTGTCAGAGGGGGAAATAGGTCACCCAAAAGGGGGATAAGAGTGGACAATTGTCAGTCACAGGTCAGCCGGAGCCCTCTGAGAAGGTCACTTGAGCCTTACACCAGAGGGCCCTCTGGGGTGATATGAAGGCTATGTCAGGCCACTATGGGCTCTATGAGGTCAGCAGGCACTCTGAGGAAAAGACTGGCCCTCTGAGGGGAACAGAGGGCCCTTTAGGACAATCAGAGGACTTTTTAGGCCAACTAGGGGCCTTAAGAGGTCAACAAAGGGCCATTTGGGACACAAACAGGGCCTCTCAGGCCACCAGGGGCCTCATGTATTAGACAAACTTACGGCCATCTGAAGTAAAAGAGGACCCTTTGAGGTAAACAAGGGCCCCTGGAGAGAAAACAAAGGGCCCTTTCAGGTACCCAGAAGGTCCATGGAGGCCACTAGAGTGCCCTTTGAGGCCAGTGATGGTCTGCAGGTGCAGAGGCCATCAGAGGGTCCCTCTGAGGGTAACAGAGGGTCCTTAAGACGACCAGAGGCCCCCCTTGAAAATGCAGGTGTCACAAGGCCCGGTTTGCATCAAAGGTCAGGTAGCTATGCCCAGTTTTGGCTCTCTGTTGCCGACGTGTTCCGAGCTGTCGCAAAAAAAAAACGATGTGGTGGCACCCACCCTCCCACTCGGCCGGCCAGGGTCCTTCTAACCAGGGATGCGGAGCCGTGGAAATTTCAGACGTCTCCGGCTCCAGCTCTGGAGAAAAAATCGGATTCGGCTCCGTCTCCGGCTCCTAGTAAAATGGTCCGGCTCCGGCGGCTCCGGCTCCAATACTCAGTACATCCTCTATACAATTAAATACGGGTGGAAGAGAAAAGATGAAGGATTGGTTCACGTTGCTTCTGTATTTGCATAACAAGGCTGTTTTGAATACCACATGTTATACTGCCTTGTACTGTCAAACCGAACTATGTATAGGTCAATAATTTTTTCCTCTTCAAAAAAGCAGCCGGAGTCGCCGCCTTTTTGGACGGCTCCGGCTCCGGCTCCGGGCAAAATATGCCGGCTCCGGCGGCTCCGACTCCAGCTCCGGCTCCACACCCCTGCTTCTAACTCGGCTTCTGAGCCACGTACCAGCACGCCAAATGCAGCGTTCGAAAGGACGCAAACAATAATGACGAAATTACTCTGGTCACTTTTTAGATCAGGTCAAAGGTCAGTTCACATAGGTCATCCAAGGCTAAATTTCGCCAATTTTCTAGTCCAATTTCGGCAATTTTCAACAAACCACCGCATCACTCGGAAATAAATGCCGTGCCGGGGAAAAGCGTAGTTAATAGCTCTTTTAACCCGCGCCGGGCCGGTGCTCTGAGATTCCGCGCCGGGCCGGAAGGGGGGTGTGTCTGAACACCCCCCTTCTAACTCGGATCCTGGGCCACGTAGCGACACGCGAAAAGCGGCAATCGAAAGAACGTCCAAAATAAGGACGAAAACACTAAGGTCATTTTTTGGGTCAGGTCAAAGGTCAGGTCACCAGGGTCACCAAACGTAAAATGTTGACTATTTCAACATTTTGGAAACTGCCAACGACTATCTCGGGAACCGATAGAGCTACAGCGCCAGAGAAAAGGGCATTCAATAGCCCTTTTACAGACCTTTCTGAGTAATGTTCTCAGATTTGACCTCAGGTCAACGGTTTAGCCTTCAGAGGGCAAAAACTCCAAAAATAGCCGTTTTTACGAAAAACGTTTTTTTTTCGGCAATAACTTTTGACTCAAAAGAGTCATGACATTAATTTTTCCAGCATCGTGTTCCTCTCGTCGAGAGACGCGTCGAATGAACTATAATTGGACCTTGAAAAGTCAACTTGAAAATTTGACCTCAGGTCAAGGTCATGACCTGACCGGAAAAGGTCATGTTACATATCAGCCGATCCGCAACGTCGAGTCGAACACATCTAAGGCGTTTTCAGCGCTCTAGCACGCCTCTATCAGAAGTTATTGGCCAAAAACTGTTAGATTCTGTTCGTGACCTGAGATGACCTCGGGGACATAACGAGGGGTCACAGTTGTCATTTTCCGATTCAGTGTGCCAATTTTACTTACATCTCGATGTTAGAGAGTGTCTAGGAATAGCGTTCGTGCAAAACAGACGCTTTTCAATTTTCTCCCATTGACCATTGGTAATGGAGAGGCCGCGATATTGATCTGACCTTAGGTCACCGATATCAAAATTCCGAGATAAACATTTTATAGATAATGTTGCTCTTATCAATCGCTGAAAGTTTCAAGGCAATCGATCAATCGGTGTAGCTATGACGAGCATTCTTATTTTTTTCTGAGGTGAGCTCACTTGGCGTGACCTGGTGACCTGACCTAAGGCGACCTGGGTCTGAAATTTTCACAACATGTGCGGAAAAGATGCACAAACAGGTGTGCCAAAAACGGGCCGCCACCGTTTTTGAGATATCTGCGAAAAACCGCAGGGGGGTGTTCAAACACCCCCCCCCCGGCCCGGCGCGGGTTAACACCCGTTTCGCCGTTTCCATCCTCGGGACATTCAAATCCTTCTCCATGCCGCAACCCATGATCCAGGCTGGACCTGGACGGGCAACTTTATACCGTGCGGGCGGCTCCCATTGGAGCGCACTGCAGCTCCTAAGGAAGCACACTCGTAACCGGGTGCAGTGAGCACTTGGGGGGCTGGTCGGCCTGTCCTGTTGGACAGGCTCAGCCCCGGTGACTCACCAAGGTGCCCGCCCAGACCAATGTCTCCCTCGATTCCTATCATCCTTCCGGCCCTGAAATGGTCTGGTCAGACCGAAAGGGCATAGCCCAACAAAACAAACAAAACTCTTTTGACACTCTTTCTGTAATTAGCGCTCAGATTTGACCTAGGGTCAACGCTCCAGCCTGGGCCCAACCCAAGGCGGGGCTAAACTGTGCTCAGATTCGACCTAGGCCTGTTAATTTTACACCTTTTATTTCGGAACATTTTTATGTTTCTACAGCTCTGTAGGGCTGACAGCTCTTCCTGCGAAACCTTTTTTGGGTCGAAAATGGCAGAACATGACGTCATTTGCGGCCAACCTATCATAGCCTCTGGAAAAAAATTGGCCACAATGTGTAAAATGGATGCCCGTAGAGGTCCTGAAAGTTTGGTGGGGATATCTGCAGTCATTTAGGAGATAGCTACGGAGGAGGACAGGGGGCCGTTTCGCCCCCCCCCCCCCCCACGGGACGCGGGTTGAACGCCCTTTCAACTCAGGCTACAAGGGCCCTTTTGCCACTTAAGGGCCCTTTCAACCCAGTCAGTCAAGGGCCCTTTTGACTGCGGATCCCCCCTGAGAGAAATCCTAGATACGCCACTGCGAGGGTTAACCCTAAACCCTCGCAGGGTGGCCCCCGGAAGGGTCTCCTCGTCACTCCGGCGACTACTTCTTTCTCCAGGGCAGCCGTGACCGCCGCGCCATGCGCCGCCGCGGACCGGTCACTGGGGCAAAACCTGGTTTGCACGCGTCTCTCCAGTCCCAGATCGGCGCCCCCCAGAAAATCGCCGCAGCGCCGCGTCCACCCGCTGACCACCGATGGACCACTTCCTGCAGAGGGCCGCCAGCACCGCCGGCCGCTCTGGGGACGGAGCCTGCCCGTGGGCGGTGCCAGACCGCGGCTCTACGGACGGCGCGGGGCCCGGCAGAAACGACGGGGCCCTAGTTATCGCCACCGGGGGCGGCACGTGGCGGCGCTTCTCACGTTCGGCGGCGCACTCTGTCTCGAGTCTATATACATCATCACGGAGTGCTGCATTGTCTGCAGATAGATTTCTTTTGACCACGACAGGCCACGCCACATAAGATTTTTGCCAGAGACGTTTCAACGTGTCCCTCGCACGACCACCTCGCTTGGCACCCAGTGCTGATTTCAAATTGTATACAATGCTCGAGAGTCGTTTCCGATTTTCATCATCTACTTCTACATCAATTCCATACCTCTGAAGCTTAGCTTCAAGCTTCTCAAGAACATCCGAACTTGGACTATCTTGATAAGCTTTTACCAGCCACAAATATTTACATGAACAACGTTTTCCTTGAATATATAGCATGTCTGTACAGAAGTGATTTTCCCTTTTCTTATTTTCTGTTTCGTTCAGTCAGCTGTCACCAGCACGGGCAGCTGACTCTTCGCTCATCAGCCCCGCTACCTGCGGAGCCGAAAGACGATTTTCCAACGCTCTGGGGATTTGCTTTTGGTGAAACCGCCTTCGTTTAACTTGAACTCAGTCCACCGGCGCATCTTCTGTACTTTCACTTCAACATCCGCCTTCGTCACGTAGTTGAAGTCTCCGTTTTCATTGATAATGCGGAGGTTCCAGAAATTACTGTAGTTTTCGCTGTATTGAAGAATGGTCTCAGCAGATTGAAACAAAATTGTGTACTCGTATAGCAAATTCCACAATATGATTGTAGGCGTTCGGCTTCGCTCTTCGGTCTATGATGGAGTTGAATCAGCTTCTAAGCTGCTACCAGGCCAGAACTATGTGATGGCCTTTGAAAAATGAATAATTTTCATCAATAATATAGACGTTTGAATTAAAAATGCTACATGAAGGAGCAAGGAAGTAATGGAACAAAGCAACTAACTAAACCATTATCATGACTGAAAAGGCCAAAGGAAAATATAAACCTTTGATTGAGTACCCATGTGTTGAAAAACATATACATTTATTTTGCACACAAAACCTGCAGAACTCTAATCTCTTGCAGTTTTCACCTTCTCTGATCTTCCGAGGCACGCCTGAATTAATCTAAATGATCATATGGCGTCTACAAAACCCGTGGCTTTCAATGCCGTACTTTCGATTCCACTGCCTTTATTAGATAGCTTAGATAGATAGCTAAAACATAACGTATAAGTAAAAGCATAAGTATAAGTATATACTTACACATCAAGTGTACTCATACTCATACTCATACTCATGCTCATACTCATACTCATACTCATAAGTCATACTCATAAAAACCGTGCTGGAAGTGCTACCATATCCATTTCACGCCCTTCATACGGTCAGGCCCTGGAACATGACCATTGACCAGTCGCTCCAGAAAATCTGTAAATAACCCTTCCGGTTCAGTATCCCGTGCACCGCGAAAAACACCGAAATTAAATATTTTTATATTCAAATGATATCTGTCTGAAAACACAAATGATTCCAGTGTTATAGAGCGGCACGGCACAATACGGGTGATGTCACATGCTGGGACCAGTCAGCCGGGCTCCTGTTGAGAGGCGGCTCACCAGATCAAGTGTATCGTACCTGGCTGTGCGTGTGTGTGTCGCACTGGACTGTGTGTAGCGGATCGAGTCCTGTGTGTGTGTCTGATGTGACCGTCTGTTTCAGACAGATGAACGCAGGAAGTGTTCGTGAAATGCGCGTGTTAGAATGTGTTCCCGTTGACTTACTCTGATATGCCCGTGTACCTGACAAGCAGATGTGCTATATTACTTAATTTAGTTGTCTCATTTCTAATAAAAGCTGTCGAGGTTGTGGTAACCTGGGACAGGATGTAATATTTATTTTTGATGCGAGGACGCGCTATGTGAAGAGGGCGGCGGCCGCCCGGGCCCCCGGGGGCACTGCAGGCAGTAGGCAGTAGGCACATCGCAGGGTCCATCCCCGATCGCTGGCCCAAACGCAAATGATTGGAACAGGATAGCGTTCGCCTGACGAATTGGGAGTGCTAAAGAGTGGACGAAATCGACAGGCCGGCAAACGTCATCGTGGCTGTGGCCGGGCGGCAGGCGTGAAGAGCGTATCACGCCAGCTCACGCCTTAGTTTATTTTGCGTAGGCACCATATTCATGTCTGTGTAATAGGACTGACACGGCGACCAGTTTATGGCGATGGTGGCTTATTTTTCACTTTCATTACTGGACTGCTTTGGTGGTTTCCGGCGCCAACGCTTTTCATCACAAATAGGCAATAGAAATATTGAGCATTAACCCGTGCTGCGCTAGGACTCTTGGTTTTCCACGCCCAATGGGGGGGGGGGGATGTAATCCGGCTCCTGGGCCACGTAGACGTAACGACACACGGTAGGTGGCATTTGAAAGAGCGTAAAATTTTTTGGACAAAACTCTTCGACCATTTAACCCTCGCCCGCACATGGGGGGGGGGGGAGGTAGTCTTTCTGCTCTGCACTCAACATTTTTAGGGCTAGAAGGCTGATTTTTGGTATAGCTGCTCCCCTATCCTTTCTTGATGTCCACTGAAAATTGCAAGTTTCTGTGATTTTTGGTTTCGGAGATATGACCTTGTTTGTCAGGTCATGTCATGACCCAAATGGCCAATTCTCAACATCTTGCGTTTGCCATGGGCCTTGTGAGCTTTTGACACCTTGATTTCGGCCTTTTTTGCCAGTCTTACCTCCCACCTATCATGGAACATGTTGTTCGACGATGTACAGGGGTCAAGGTCAGGGTCAAGGTCAACCTAGGTCATCTAAGATAATTGCGTTTTAGGCAAGCTGAATTTACTTTTTGTGAAGTTTTTTGACTGCATTTTTGGTAAAAACTTCTCAGATCATGATTTCATGTAATATGGACACAAAAACAATCGGTGCACACATCAGTATACACACAGACACACACAGACATACAAACACATATAACTGACCTTGACCTAACTTGACCTGAAATGACCTCAGCAGCAAAAATCTGGCCGGGTAGTGTGACAAAGAGGTTCTAGCTGGCTTGGCACCAGAAAACGGCATCGTCATCGGTATATGATAAGCAGCGCACTTGATATCCAACGGTGACCCAAAACAGCAACATTTTTTAGTTTGACCTGACCTGGAAGGTCAATGACTGACCTGAGACGGTAAAATCGGGTATCATTGGATTCGTCTCTTCCCAAAGAATCTTTTTGGTCTTTACCGCTAAGCTCTATCTCCAACAGGAACGAAACGGCGCGGGGGGGGTGGCAACCACCCCCCCCCCCATGTGCGTTCTAGGATGGGAAAATGGCATGTGCGGGCGAGGGTTAAAGGTCAGGCCTAGGATCAGCTCACCAGAGTTCATCGAAGGTCAAATTTCCCCCACTCGGCGGCGCATAACCGCGAACGGATAGGATAGAGCTACAGTGTCGCGCAGAAGCGCAGTTGATAGCTCTTTCAACGCTATTCTTTGTAGGCATCGATCTCTAATTTGACCTAAGTTCAATGCTTTAGCCTCCATTGACATGATTGCGGAAAACGCCGTTTGTTCTACAATAACTTGACTGAAACCCCAATGCATTTATTTTACCGGCATCGTGTTCCTTTCGATAGACCTGTCAAATGCTCTATGCTTGGACTATTGAAGGTCACGTGCTCAGAATGGCTTTCGTCCAAAAGAAACTTTATTCAATTTTCTCTCATTGGCTAGTAATGGAAGGGTCGCATAATTGACGTGGCCTTAGGTCACTGATATCATAATTCAGAGATACCTTTACGTTTTATGCACACTGATGCCTTTATTGATCGCTTGAAGCTTCAAAGCAATCAGTCGGTCGGTGTTTAGTGACGAGCATTAACCCTCGCCCGCACATGGGGCGGGGGAGGGGTTGCCCCCCCCCCAGGTAGTTTTTCTGTTCTGCACTCAACATTTTTAAAGGTAGAAGCCTGATTTTTCGTATAGCTGCTTCTCTATCTTTTCTCACCGTCCACTGAAAATTTCCAGCTTCTGTGGTTTTTGGTCTCGCAGATATGACCTTGTTTTTCAGGTCATGTCATGACCCAAATGACGAATTTTCAACATCTTGCGTTGGCTATGGGTCTTGTGAGCTTTTGACACCTTGATTTCGGTATGTTTTTGCTAGTCTTACCTCCCACCGATCATGGAACATGTTATTCGACGATGTGCAGATGTCAGGGTCAAGGTCAAGGTCAACCTACGTCATCTAAAAACATTGCATTTTAGGCTTGCTGAAATCTGAATTTACTTGTCGTGAAGTTTTTTTTACTGCATCTTTTGGAAAAAGCTTCTCAATCTCAGATCATGATCTCATGCACAGACTTCTCTATATAGAGAAGTCTGTGTCTCATGTAATAGAGACACAAACCAATCGGTGCACACATCAGTATACACACACGGACACACACAGACATACAAACACATATCGTTGACCTTGACCCAGCTTGACCTGAAATGACCACAGCAAGTGAAAACCTAGTCGGATAGTGTGACAAAGAGCTGTTCTAGCTGGCCTGGCACCACAAACGGCAGCGCCATCGGTATATGATGAGCACAGAGCACCGCACGTGATATTCCAACGGTGGCCCCAAACAGCAACATTTTTAGTTTCACCTGACCTGGAAGGTCAATGATTGACCTAATGAGGTAAAATTGGGTACCATTGGATTCGTCTCTTTCCAAAAAAAATCTTCTTGGTATTTGCCGCGAAACTATCTCCAGCAGGAACGAAATGGCGCCGGGAGAGGGGGCAATCCCCCATGTGCGTTCTAGGATGGGAAAATGGCATATGCGGGCGAGGGTTAACCCGCGCCCTGCTGGGGGGGGGGGTGTTTGAACAGTGAACACCCCCCCCTTGTGGTTTTTCGCGAATATCTCAAAAACGGCGGCGCGGAGCGCCGCCGTTTTTGGTACACCTTATCATACATCAATTCTACACATGTTGTGAAAATTTCAGACCAAGGTCATTCAAGGTCAGGTCACCAGGTCACTTGAAGTGACCTCACCTCATAAAAACTTTCAATGTCCGTCATAGCTACACCGAGTTACCGATTGCTTTGAAACTTTCAGCGATTGCTAAGAGCAATAGCATGTACAAAATGTATATCTCAGAATTTTGATATCGATGACCTAAGGTCAGGTCAATTTTGCGACCTCCCCATTATAAGTCAATGGGAGAAAATTGAAATGCGCCTCTTTTGGATGAAAGACATTATAAACACTCCCAAACACCGAATTACAAGTGTTTTAGACATACTGAACTTGAAAATGGTGTCCGTGACCCTTGTTTATGCCCTGAGGTCATCTTAGGTCACGAATGGTATCTAACAGTTTTTCGCAAATAACTTTTGATAGAGGCATGCTAGAGCGATGAAAACGCTTTAGATGTGTTCAGCTCGACGATACGGATCGACTGATATGCAACATGACCCTTTCCGGTCAGGTCATGACCTTGACCTGAGGTCAAATTTTCAAGTTGACCTTTCAAGGTCAAGTCATAGTTCATTCGATGCGTCTTGACGAGAGGAACACGATGCCGGTAAAAGTAAGCTCGTACAAGGCTTGGGTCAAAAGTTATTGCAGAAAAACTGTTTTCGAAAAAATCGGCTATTTTTGCAGTTTTTGCCCCCTGGAGGCAAAACCGTTGACGTTAGGTCAAATCTGAGAGAATTACTCAGAAAGGGCGTTAATAGGGCTATCGAATGCGCTTTTCCGCGACGCTGTAGCTCTATTGGTTCCCGAGTTATGCGCTGGCTTCTTGGAAATTTTCGACATTCGACCTGGAAATCGGCGAAATTTTGCCTTCAATGACCTCTGGTGACCTGACCTTTGACCTGACCAAAAAATTGACCGAAGTGATTTCGTCATTATTTTTTACGCTCTTTCGAACGCCGCCTTCCGCGTATCGCTACGTGGCCCAGGAGCCGAGTTACAAGGGGGGGGGTGTTCAAACACCCCCCCCCCCCAGCAGGGCGTGGAAATCCAGGACCCCCAGCAGGGCGCGGGTTAAAACCTTTCTTTGGGTGAGGTCACTAAACTTGACGTGGCCTTGTGGCCCGACCCAGAAAGACCTGGGTTTGAAGTTTTCACATGTGCAAAATATGTCTGTTAAGGTATGCCAAATATTTGCGGAAAAACGCAAAAGGGGTTCCCACTATTCAACCCCTCCCCCCCCCCCCCCCCCACCTGCCACCCCGACAGGGCACCAGCTTGCCGTGAAGCTTGCCTGCTTTTTTGTGAAGTATTATTTAGTTGCGCATGAAGTTATCTGTGCTGCCATATATATATGGTATCCTGACATCACGGGATGAATCTGGCGCACACGCGCCAAAACTTATAATGCTGAGCTGAGAGAAGAAGTGAGAGAGAGATAGGATGTTTTTGTTGTTTTATTGTGACCTCTGGTGGTTTTATTGTGACCTCTGGTGACCTGACCTTTGACCTGACCAAAAAATTGACCGAAGTGATTTCGTCATTATTTTTTACGCTCTTTCGAACGCCGCCTTCCGCGTATCGCTACGTGGCCCAGGAGCCGAGTTACAAGGGCTGAGAGAAGAAATGATATCCCCACGTCGTGACGGCGACCTCTGCTAACGAGTTCAAGAACCGGCTTGATAGTCACTGGTCTGATCATATTTATGACATACCTACTTAAGCTAGAGCAATAACCGAGATTCAAAGAGCTCGATGAGAACGGGTCCAAAAGGCCTCTGGCCTCCCAAAGTCCCGCCAACAGTAAGGTAAGGTAAGGTAGGTAAGGTATTGCTTTTATAGGCTTACTTCTGCTTGTGAGGCACAGGCGTTTGCTAAAAACAGACACCATTTTAGGTTGCATGAGAAAAAATATAATTTTGACATCTGGGAAAGTCTCTTTTTACCATGCAACACCGTATTGAAATTTGAAATGGGTACCTATCAGTGTACGCTATACACTGTTGATTTGAATTAGTTTGTGTCGTGTCAGTGTACTGCAAGGGGGAGCATTCCGGTCTAGGGGTAAGATACTTGCCTCTAGATTCGGCCATCCGGGTTCGATTCCCGGGCAATGCACGTGGCATTGCCGCTACCTGACCGCTTGGAACAGCGTGAGAGTTCCGGTTAGCACCTTGGTCCACTGGATGTGGTGCTTAACCCAAAACCAACCAACCAACCAGTGTACTGCAAGGCCCTATATAGTATATACTGTACTGTACTGTAAAGTTAAGTACTGTAAGGTGTACTGTTAAGTTGGTGGAAGCTAATGTGCTGTGAAAGTGGGGCGTTATTCAGATAATTGAAGCAGGGGTAGGGTTATGGGAGTTTTGATTATTTTTGAAGCTCATTGTTAGTCGTCAAAGTTAAGCTGGCTCGACAGTTCCAGGGACCTGTCAAGATAGTTGAATATTGTCACGATTTTTAGCTACAGTTTCAAAATGCTGCAGCCTCTAATGCATGTGCTATCATCAAAGAGGATAATTTTAGCAAGTGGCTCTCCAAGAAGAAGAGAACTCCTCTCAAAATATGTAAGTTTATTCTGTACTTTCAGTGCAGTTCAATGTGTTCAGATGCATGAATGATGTGTTATGATGCTCATTATGTTAGCTTTTAAATCCAAAGCAAAGCAACTCTGTGAGTCAATAACCTGGGATTCAAATTGCCATATTCTTTCATGTTGTTTGTAACCTGGTGGGATTGAATTTTGGCAGGGCTTAGAATTTGATGTGGAGCCATCACTCTATGACGAAGGTAGCCTGAAAGCTGAAAACTTCACATCACCTGCTGACTTCGCTGAACAACTTGCATATGAGAAGGCAGCTGAGGTAATATTCTATTGGTTGTGTGCAATGTAGTGATACAAGCAGAGACATCAGGCTTATATGTCACACTTTTCAAATTTCCTTACTCAGTGCTTTGGGAGCCATTTTTCATACATACCCTGCATCTAGAAATTTACATTAAGTGACATGCATATTCCGAATTGCCCAAACAGCAATTAAAAATGTTCTGATACCCATATCGCCCTAACTGCTGTTAGATATGCTTCTAGGGTGTTTCACTAAAAGTGTCAAAAAGTTAAAGGTCATAATGCACGTAATAACAATGTTTTCTAAGGAAATTTGCATATCATTTCATCCGCAATTGTTGGACATTTGAATATATAAAAACTATATCACCGTCACTCAAACCTATTCCACACATCTGCCCCTTCTTTTGATGCACCGTTTCGGCACGTGTCCGGAGGTGCCTCACAGCCCGTTTTCATCTTCAGCGTCCAGACTGTCGGCAAAGCCTTGAATTGTGCTCTTCAGCTCCCGAAGTGATGCGACTTGAGTCTTCCTCAGCTCTGCGAGAGCTACTGAGTCACTGACCAAACCAGAGGCTTAGCGGTGACAGATCGGGGCTTCGCGCTGGCCAGGGGCGGGCGGCGAGGCAGCTGATTATTCGGCCCAGGAGCTTCTGGTTCAGTCAGTTCCTGGTGGCTACAGCCGTTACAGTGGTTGATTTTAATAACTTGTAAGGCCCTGGCTATTTCTGATGTTGGAATTAGCTTCTTGTTATCTTCAAAGGCCCTCAAAAAGACCCTGACCTTCTCAACGGTTTCCGCCGAGAGGTGGGGGCAACACCACCTTTTTTGGACTGGAACCGGCATCGAAGGAACCCTATTAAACCTCTCAACAAGCCCTCTGCCGTCCAAAGGCAAAACCGCATATGTCGGGTCAGGTCATGACCCGACATATGCGTTTTTGCCTTTGGACGGCAGCCCTTTGAAACTTTTATAATCTTAAATCTGGAACGTAGCGAGGTGAGAGAGTAAAAAGTTTCCTGAAAAGTCGGCATACGGTTTCAATGTTTCTGATGGCACCAAATGTACATAAGTGTAATTCACCCCTCCTGTTGAGGTGTAAATAACCTGTTCTTGTTCTGCATAAGGAAAAAATGACTAGTAACTTTGGCCTCCTGCCCTCGCTCCGTATGAGTGTAAAATATATCTTAAATGGATAAATGATAAATGTCCAAAAATTTGCAACAAAGCCACGTGCGCAGCCAGGTGATTTGCATATTCTATATATCTTTAATAAGCATTTACTTTTTGACAATTTTAGTGAAACACCCTGTATAACTTCCTAACTCTTTCAAACAGCTGGTCTCACATCCTGGTCCAAGGTCAGGTTGTTAAACCAGAGCCGAATATTCCCCTTCTGCTCCATTCTAATGCGTTGTGACCGGCAGGTAGTTCGCCGAATGGATCGAAGTATCGACGCGCCCGAATTGGTGATCGGTGCCGACACGGTCGTCACCCTCGACGGACACGTTTACGGCAAACCGGTCGATAAACAGGACGCCTTCAACATGATATCAAAGTAAGTTATCTTTATATGCACAAAAAAAGTTTATTGTGAACCTCATAATGCGCCATTATTATTGAGTGTACGTGTATTGTGATTCGCGGCTCACAGTTCCAGCGCGATCAACTGGTTCCCACCCACCGCCCTGACTCCTCACACGTGCACCGCTGCTTCCCGCGCTCAACCAAGTATAAGAGCACTCAACTCCCCCACCGCCGCCGCTGCCGCGCCGGCCGGCATCAATACCGCCTGGCACGTTTAGCATCGCGACTGGCCTGGGAGCATCCGTTATGAAAATCACACTTCAATACGCATTGGATGCTGTGTGGATTAGAGGGTTTTGTATTCAGCTGCCCATAGTTACCTGCCTACCTGACGTGCATTGCTCCCTGCCTGCGGCGTCGCAGGTTCAGCGGTCGGACGCACCACGTGTACACCGGTGTGGCGGTGCTCCGGCGGCTCCAGTACGGACGCTGGGCCACTGACCGGTTCGCTGAGGTGACTGCCGTCCATATGGACACACTGCCGGCCGACGTCATCCACAGCTACGTCAACACCAGCGAGCCCATGTGAGTGGGAGCGTCACCGAGACGTGGGTGAAACGGTAGGACTACGATCCCATAGCTTATTCGGGGTCTATAGTAGCATTTAAAATGGTGGACCGATGCCGTGTGATAGCCATAATTCCTAGTCAGCCACACTAGCGAGTTAAATCATGTTTATTTCGCATTTTCTTGTATGATTATCTTTGGGTGTCTCAAATGCTCCGAGCTACGTAAGGAACAAAGTAGTGCCAGTTCATATAGCGTACTGACCCTGTTTACCGCTCCTCAACAGGGACAAGGCCGGCGGGTACGGCATCCAGGCAATGGGCGGTACCTTCATCTCCGGTATCGAGGGCGACTACTACAACGTGGTCGGGCTGCCGATCCACCGGCTGTGCAAGCTCCTCTACCGCCTTTACGGCTCCAAGGACGGCTCGTCAGAACGCTGACGCTGACTCGTCGGCGGCAACCACTCAGGACCGTGCTATTTATTAACTTGTTGAGTGTATATAAACTGCTCGAATACACAATATTTACACCGTCCGGTAGTATTAATGCTCAGTATTGCTTATGACGATTTTGACGTATTTTCATCTTGCTAATAGTTCAGCAGATAAATATTGCTCTTGCACTTGGAACGTTTCTTTCCTAGCACATTGCGTTTTTAACAGGGTTTTACAGAAGATACAAAACGAAAAATCGTAGCTATGCCGAAAATACAGAGATACAAGGAAATGATAAAAATGTGCCTCATTGCAGCCGGACCACAAACGGAGCCCACTCAGTGTCTGGCTCTGCAGCTGCCTGAAGAGGCCGCAGTTTTGACCACTACCCGTCGTTCCATATACAGGCCCACAGCTTCAGCAGCAAGGAATGGTGCCCGCTGCCTTCAACCTGCTGACACAGCACGCTTACCCACCCAAAAGCCCAAGGAGCGGCAAATAAATACGCATGTAGCAAACGTCGGTGACCGGTGTAGTCCAATTTATGTATATTACATTGAGTACATCTGAGTTCACACGACATCTGAAACACAGAACATATCTAAATAATGTCACGGAATGTCAGGGAATGTCACGATGCGAGAAGAAATTAACAACTCAGTAGCTGCCACACAATAACATTAATAAAATGATATGCCTTGAAGCGCGCTTATCGAGGCGGAACACACGATCATGCATGTTATCGCACCCATGAGTTGCCATGCAGCACTCAGCAACCGGTGGGGCCAATTACCATTCTGCATGCACGCACCTGTATGTACAAACATTGCAGTTCCTTACACACTTCATGCTCAATGACAGAAACATCAATGGCGTCGGGCAAGCACAAGGCCTTGCTTCAAGGACGATTACTTAGCTAATATGGATCACGCACGCGCACACGCACACAACCACACGTCACTTGTTACACTACACAGTTATACACATATGCAGAACGTATAAGATACACTTTTAATCATTAGTCATAGTTTGGCAGAACCGGCTTTTGTCTTTGCCTATGACAGCGACCTCTATCGTCGCCATCAGACAGCGGGACGCAAAGTGGCAACGGAGTCTCGGGCAGTGCGTTCTAACACCACTCTTCCTGTCCTAAGTTCCTTGTGAATATCTGACGGACACCGACTATGTTTTGGCCTGGATTTGACCACTGACAACTGGCAGCGCTAAAGTACTGTAGAGAGCCCGGGTGGGTCCCGGCAGCTCTGCGCACCCCGCGGGGCGCAGCAGAAGTTTGGCGAGCGGCTGGCGGCCGACCAGCCCCGCCGCAGAGATCAGGACGCGACACGCGACCGGTGCCGCTCATACAACGCTCTCCAGACTCTCGTTGAGACTGTCATTACTGTAAACAGTCAGCACAGAAAGCTGTCAGTCATGGCAGTAATCGACAGCTGCATATTGGCAATGGGGAGGCCGGTGTATTGATAAAGGTCAATCGTCTGAACTCTCGAGTTAATCGATCACATCTTAATTTCAATTTAGAACGTCTTTTACGATTTAGTTTGTATTCCCATAAAAAATGCTGAGACAGCGAGAAAAGAGAAAGAAAGCAGAGGAACTAATTAATTGATTGATAATACACCTTTATTTGATTTATGTACTGGGTAGACACTGATACAAACGGGCAGGCAGGCAGACGGGCAGACAGTCGTCTCACCTGACGTACGCTGGCGGCCCACAGGGTGTTGCACCCCGGCGGGTGTTATACGTAGCTGGGGGCGCTGATAGTGGCCACGGGGCTGAGCGGGCGGCGCGGTGAGGCAGTGTTAGCGTGTGGCAGCGTACATACAGCGACACCAAGCATGGCATAGCGGCAGTGACAGCGGGGCCCTGTTCCACGGCACGCTGCTAACGGGTGCTAGCGAGAGCTACCGGCTACTAGCGAGAGCTACCGGCTACTAGCGAGAGCTACCAGGTAGGTTACGTTCTAGCGAGAGCTGGCGCTAGCAAACGCTACCGGGTACTAGCTAGCACCCCTGCACCCGGTGGCAGTGGGTACCAGCGTGCCATGAAGCAGGGCCCGGTATAGCGGCACACGGCACCGGACTTTGTACAGCAAGCGTGCGTGACGGCCCCACCCAGTTCAACAGCAACTCAGCATTTAGGCTGAGAAGAGTTGGCAAAAGCGGCAACGACTAGTCTGGAGTCCCAGAACCCCCCCCCCCCCCCCCCCCACACACACACAGGTATGTTGCTATCTGTAAAAGCATGTGCGTGTCCTTCGCGTGAGCTCTGTACAGGCATCCAGCGTAGCGCGATGCAGCGGTTTAGTAAGCGAGCTCTGAGTGTCTGCAGCGCTCTGGTTCACTTACTCGGAGTCGGGGTTTTCGTGGAGCGGCCCGGGAGGCGGGAGGCGAGCGCTGGCCACCAGGTCGGCCAGACGCCCGGCGCCGCCGCCCACAGAGTACAGGTTGGGCGCCGGCTCCGGCAGCGCCTCCGGACTCTCGTCTGCGGCGAAACAGGAAGAGTCAGAACAGCGGTTAGCCAGCGGTAAGTCTCGTAAAAAGGAGCAACCAAAAACACTCCCTAAAGAGACGGGTAAGCAGCTCTGAAGTGCCAGCGAACGAACCCCGGACAGACGGCCAAACAGCTCCGGGGTGGGTGGCCTCTAATTCAATACACCGCGGCCTTCGCTGGCCAGTGGTCAGGTCACGCATTTCAACACATGAGACTTTCACCCAACAGGGCTGCTGAGTGAGACTAACCACCATACATCATAGAGACAACATTACACCTGACTTCCATGATAGAAGTCAAGGAGCGAGTGTGACGTCGAGCGAGTCGACCACCGCCTGAGGCGTCACTGCTCACCCGGTATGGGCGGCGGCGCGCCGAGACCGGCGTCCGATCCGGTGCCGCCGGACAGCCGGTCGGCCAGACCCGGCGGCGCCATCCAGGAGAGACCGGCCGGCGGACCGGCCATGCCCACTGCGTGAACAACAGGAGGCATATGTCAGATGTGGCAGACGACACATACACACACACACACACACACGCACACAAGCGAGCGAAACCTCCCGAACTCTGCTCAGTCTATGATGCGATTATTGTACAGTGTGTAGAACGTTGAATTTTTTGTCATATACCTACTACAGTTTTTTTTTTATCGGATTATGTGCATTAAATTCGAATTGGTTTCATTTTTCAAGAAATGAGTAATATCACTTATCAGCAAGCACCAAAGCAATCTGTCGCTGCGTAGCAGAATGTGTCCCGGCTCCCGTGCATCCCAGGACTGCAGCAATGTGCCGGTAGTGGCGGTCGGATAGTCTATCTGCGGGTCCGTCCGTCCGACTACCTAGCGTGTAGCGCGGGTAGGCGGGCAGACAGTCTACATTGGGGCCCGACCCGACTACCTAGCGTGTAGCGCGGGTAGGCGGGCAGCTCGGTCCGTCTATATTACGGTCCGTCCGACTACCTAGCGTGTAGCGCGGGTAGGCGGGCAGCTCGGCCGGACAGCCGGTGCGCCACGGCGTGCTGTAGGTGCCGGCGCCGGTTGGGGAGTCCAGCTCCAGCCGACCGGTGACACTCAGCGCCTCCTGGTAGATGTGCTCGTCGTCCGGGGCCGGAGGGGGCGGGGAGCAGCGCCAGCTGAGGTCGCGCCCGGCGCCTGCGTGGGTCACCCGGGGTCAGCAGGGGCCGTCACCAGAGAACCGGGATACCAGAGGACCGTCACCAGACAAACGGGATACCAGAGGACCGTCACCAGACAAACGGGATACCAGAGGACCGTCACCAGACAAACAGGATACCAGAGGACCGTCACCAGACAACCGGGGTCACCAGGCCACCAGTAATCCGTCACCAGTCACCCAACATTACACACCAACGGTCACTAATCAGTAATCACTGTCCTCCCCAAATCCCGGGCCGACCGTCACCAGGCAAACAACACCGGCTAAATGACAGCACCAATCGCTCATGGATACCGAATGAATGATATCTGGTATCAGTAGGCCACGAATGTCCATCACCACTCCCAAAGAAGCTACGGAAGTGTAATTAGACTAAAACAAGCAAACCGCAGTTCTACAATCCATCAATTAGCAAGTTCAGTATCAGTGTTAGTTGCTAGTAAACACGAGCGTCCAACCATGCCCATCACCAAGTTATCAGTAATTTTACTAAGCAGGATACATGCCAATAGCGGATGTTAATGGTAACCTAATTGTGTCAGAAGGGTTCGCGCCGGCCCCGGCCAGTGTCCCCGTACTCACGCTGGCCGCGCCCTGACGCGCGCTGTTCGACCCTCAGCCGTGCCGCCGGTGACGACACGGAGCCGTTCCCGATCTCCTCCTCATCACTGCTGTGGCTGGAGGCCAGCGAGAGGCTGCGCCGAGCGTCCGACTGGTCGGACTCGGAGTCCGAGTCACGCCGCGCCCGGTGCGACCGCCGACCTGCCGACGGCGGACGGTTTCAGTCAGTTGTCAGCTAACGGAGTGGGTCCTGGTGAACCGGGCCGCCGCCACTAGTCCCGGGCCGCTCCATCAGACATCTCGTGACAAACTCAATCCTTGTATAACGTAGTTTAGGTACGAAAAAATCATTGAACAGGGTAAAATTCCTTTTTAACGTCATATTTTGCAGTGAGATGGTAGTTTTGTAGGGCATGTCCCAAGTCCCAAAGCACAGTTTTCCAACGAACTCCAACTGTAAAGGCCTGGCTACACTATGCGTTTTCTTCGTGCGTTTTTTTGCGTGTTTGCCTGTTTTGCGTGATATCGTTCTAGAAAAAAAGAACGATATTACGTTTTTGTGATGTTTTTCACCTTAAATTTTAGTTACATAAGAGTTATATTAGCTTTTGTATATAACCAAAGTAAAAATTATATTGTTTATAACTTTTTTCCTAGAACGATATTACGCAAAACACGCAAACCTGCAAAAACGCACGCAGAAAACGCATAGTGTAGCCAGGCCTTAAGTCTGATCCAGCCTGAAATATATTCTGGCTTTTATGAGCTGAAACGTTTCAAGTTCATGCTTGCACTATGTACATTCGCCCTCCGTTCCGAGACTCACCCTTGGCGCTGCGCCGCGAGCCGGCGTGTCTGAGGTCGTTGGTGCTGGACGTCGGCTGGCTGTTGGACGTGGTGCTCGGCGCGTTGATGCCCAGGCTGTACGGACTGCTGGACGTCTTGCAGGTGGAGCGGCTAGTGGTAGAGGCTGTCGAAATGCCCACTGTGCGCCGCAGAATATCGTCGTGGTGGTAGGAGAGGGCTGATCGTGAGGCCATGGTGGTGCGCGTGCCGGCCAGACTCTCGTCGTAGGTGACCTTCTTGCCGCAGCAGAGCGCCAGGCTGCGGGCGGTGCCCTGGCGGACGCGTCGGTTCAGCAGGCAGTAGCCGAGCAGGATGTACGCGCCGAGTAGCAGTGAGCACACGGCCAGTAGGAAGTTGAGGACCTCCATCTCCTCGGAGACAGAGAGGACGGCCAGCAGCCAGACGGCCACCATCAGGGGCAGCAGCGCCACCGACAGCCATAGCAGGCTCCTGGGGGTGGGGGCACAGGAGTCAGACAGGCACACTACTGACGGCCAGCAGCCAGACGGCTACCATCAGGGGCAGCAGCGCCACCGACAGCCACAGCAGGCTCCTGGGGGGGGGGGGGGGGCACAGGAGTCAGACAGGCACACTACTGACGGCAGCAGCCAGACGGCCACCATCAGGGGCAGCAGCGCCACCGACAGCCACAGCAGGCTCCTGGGGGTGAGGGGCGTATACCATCAGTATGGGCACAAATCTAACAGTCAGGAGCCAGACGGCTACCGCCAGCGGCAGCAGCGGCACAGACAATCACAGCAGACTCCTGGAGTGAACGGCACACAGTAGGGAGTCAGTCTGGGGCACACTACTAAATGCGACCCGCATGACAATGCCGCCGCTAGACCTAGTGACAACCCTGTCAGACGAGGAGTCACATACTGTTAGTCCAGGCCATACTGCACTCATATGAGAGTCATTACGGTCATCATACCGTCAGATTACGTCCGGTCGGGCTATAGCAAGTTTTATGTAGCAAAAGTAAACTCAAATCGCCACCACTTACCTGAGGTTTCCGAATCCTTCGACGTGGTCCTTGAGTGAGAGCGAGGCACGAATGGCGAGTACCTGCGTGACCAGGGTGGCCGTGGCCAGAGCACAGACGGGGCCGACCATGGCCCAGATCACCGACTCATGCACCGAGAGCCAGCAGAACGAGATGTTACCTGACGGCATGAGAAGTAGGTGGAATTAATCAAGTCGGGCTGCTGTGGGGCATCGAATACTATGACGGCAGGAAGAGCTAGGCTGGCTAAAACGGCACCGTTGACGAGTTTACACAATCGAGGGTGCAAATCGACGACATTAAATGTCATACGATGCTGCTGCATACAAATTCTTTGAGTTCAGTGAAAATTGTCGGCTTTTGAATGGGTCTTTCAGAAAGGCATGACGGACGACCGTATTCTGTATGCTCATGGGTGTGTTGTAATTTTGGTATCTCGTTTGTTCTTACCGTACTGGTCGGCGCGCACGCCCACCGACAGGCCGACAATGATGGCCGGCACGCCGTAGCCCAGCGAGTAGTAGAAGCGCATGGCGCCGTGGTTGACGTCGCGCAGCTCGGTCAGCATACGGTGGACGTGTACCGACTCGAGCAGCAGCCAGGAGAAGGCCGACAGCCACAGGTAGTGCAGCAGGATCGCCACCAGCTTACACGGAAACTGGACGCAGAAGAGCAATCAGTGGATTCAGTGGGCAGGTCAGGCGATGAAGTGATGAACTTTCATTACCCCAAAGTATGTGGTAGTGGTGGTAGTCAGAGAAAAAACAATGGTATTTAACCGAACTCATTTCCATTACCATATAGCGGGATATTTATACAACGAGGGATTATTTAAAAAAAAAAAAAACACCAGCACTTCATAACCATAACGTAGAGCACTCCAAAACCGAGGAACAATAAAGCTGGACCCGTACATTTTAACCACGTAGCAGCAGTTTTAAAGAACTGGCACACCCATGTGCTAGGAACCGAGAGTCGAGAGACATAGCCACCACCGTGTCTCACCTCGCTGATGACCAGTCTCTGGCGCAGTTTGAGCGCCGTCAGGAAGATGAGCTGGGCGCAGAACAGACACAGCGCCAGGTTCTTGTGAATGCTGTTGGAGTTGGTCTGCAGGCCGCCGCGCAGCACGGAGAAGATGAAGAAACTGACCAGCAGCAGGGCGATCGAGGCCAGCAGGCCGATGTAGGTGACTACGTTCTCCGCCGGGGTCGTCTCGATCAGGAACTGGGAACAGAGCGGCACAGTCGGGTCAGTGGTATTGTTATCATACAGAAATCCACTGATTGCTACCGACGTCATGCAGGAGATACACACACATCGCACAATGCACAGTCAAAGTCCCGTCGACACACCAAATATTACTAGCACAAAGGCACGCCCACTACATGTTCAGTGTGAAAAATGAACAGGACATGAAAACGAAACGAAACAACGGCAACGAAACGCACATGAAACACACACAATGTAAGACATCTAATGCAAGCTATCTTGGCTGCTAGCATGTGGCCATAAGACTCCAGTCGGCCGCCAGTGAAGTCCCAACTCCCGTTCCCTCACCTCCGCTGACGGGTCGTCCATCAGCACGGCAAACGTGGACAGGTGGGAGCAGGTGCAGTTGACGTATGTGTAGTTGGCCGAGTACTCCCACGGCTCCAGGAAGGTGGTCTGGCAGCCCTGGCGGGTCCACTGGCCCGGACCGCTGCAAAACATAACCATATGGCGTCACAATCACAACATTCGCACAAGGAAGACGATAACTGCAAGCGATTTAATTTTAAATTTGAGCACACACAAATACTCTGCCGTGATGTAAGTGGCGTTGCAGCCACTCACGCTCCTTCAATCCATATCACAGCCTACGAAAGACGAGGATTTTATATCCAGCAAAGCGGTCATTCATCCCATTAAAATCACCTCAACGATTGGGCATCAAACGAACATCGCGATTCTGCACATCGCGGCACCATCAATGACCGGGAGCGTCATAATCTGCACAGAGACGAACTCACCCCTTCTCGTGCTGCCAGCGGACGCACTGCGGACTGCTCTTGGCCGAGAGCCGCGCCGTCCGCAGCATCAGCCGCACCGGCGTGCTGATTTCCCCCGCCGGCAGCTGACCGTCAGCGTCGCTGACCGCCAGTGTCAGCGCCGCGCTCTGACCGCTGACGGCCACGCCCCAGCGGCGGCGCACGTCGTCAGCGTACCGCTCGGGCAGTACATCAGTCAGCGTGCGGAACAGGACGTACGCTACGGCCGCCTGCTGGTGCGGCGCCGGCCCGCCGTCTGCCGTAGTGCCCTCCACCGGCGCCTCGATGCCCAACAGTTTGAGCGGCAGCAGCACCGCGTTGTGGTCGTCCCAGGCGACGCGACTGCGCGGGTAGTTGTTGTGCTTGGGCAGCACTATGCTGGGGCCGTCAAAGGCCGGTGAGTTGGTCTCCAGGAAGGCTGCTCCGGCCGGGAGCTGGACGCGACCATCTGTGGCGCTGCCGTGTAGCTGCCGCCAGCTGACAGTGTCCAGACCCAGCACTGCCGGCGCACACAGGGGGGAGATCGGTCAGAGGGGCACTCGAACGTGCAGATCTGCCAACTAACGAACGACAGTCACAGCAATAGACAATGCATGACCGACAGGAGATTGGATAGTGGGGGGAGGCAGTGAGCGGACGTTGGGCGATAAACGGTAGGCGATAGACGGTGGGAAGTGGGCATGGGCGGCGGTTAGCTCATAGTGATAAAACAGCGATGAACGAGAAGCGACCAGTACCGGACAGCGAACGGAAGGCGGTGCGAACTTACCGACGTTGTCAGTGGCGATCTCCATCGGATCGGTGAATGTGTCCTGCTGTGTGCGGACCAGCGTGTGCGCGTACTGGTCGTAATCCTCCAGAAGGTCGCTGGCACCCTCATTCAGCTGGTTCTGAATCTTCTCCCAGTGACGCTTGTACTTTGGCTGGAGAATGATGCTTGTTGCCGCCAGGAGATTCTGAAAAGACATAAAGGGCGTTACGTGCGAGGCCAATAAGGTCGACATAAGTCTAAGTTACTAACTATATCAACCTTTCCTTGCTATCAACACCCAGGATGAATGTATATTTGTTTTAATAACGGGTTTACAGCCACTGTACTGGTTCAACATTCTCAAATCTCATTCCCCCATGTCTGAAAGTAGACCGGACTAGCCTCTCACCGGGATAAAGTATACTAGCCTCTCACCGGAATAAAGTCCCTGTCCTGGCGATGTGCCAGGTTCAGTCCGGCCTCGTTGCTCTCGTGCTGCAGCAGCAGTCGCAGCAGCTTGTAGATGTAGTAGACGTCCGTGACGTAGAGGTGCGGCGCGGAGCGGGCGGCTGCCGCCAGGTCGGCAGCCGTGTTCACCGACAGGAACGACGAGAAGCGCAGCGCGCCCGACAGCAGACTGCGCACCTGTGGCACGGGAAACAGCGGTGGTTAGAGTACTGCCAACAGTTCACGCACAGCTGATCAGGTGAAAGATGTCCCTTGGGGATAGCTGAGAATGAATTGTGTAATGCATTTGTAATAAGATAAATACACCTGCATATTCCGCGAGAAAGTGGAGGTCAACTACGATTGCAATGGATGCAAATTGACAAGTGTTCTACGTTTTTCTTTTCCTTCGAGTTACCCTCCGTTTAATCAGCGAATTTCGCGCCCCACTCTCATTGAGGAGTTCCCAGCGGCACTCTCGGTGAAGAGTTCCCGGCGGTGCCCTCGGTGAAGAGTTCCCGGCGGCACCCACCTGGTGCTCCTGCTGTCGGAGGCTGATGCTCAGACACTCAGAGAGGTCCGGCTCAGCCCAGCCCGTCTCGCGGTCACACACGCGGCGCGCCTCGCCCTCGGCACCCGTCGGGCACGGCTGGACGGCCGTGGCGTCAAACTCTGTCTGCTGCCAGAGCACGCCGGCCACGCGGACTCGCGGGCAGCCCGTGTAGACGACCTCACAGCCGCGGCTGGTCACCTGAGGACGCGCACAGAGCGGGAGGAACAAGTTAAATGGGAACACGCCAAGTAACAGACGTCACATGACTTCATAGTGTCAATGCCATAGCCCGGAGACGCGAGATACACATACACCAAGTCAAGTTTTACAGTGTCTTTTTGTTCTAAAAAGGCAACTCTAAGCTCAATAAACATCAAACTGAAGCTAGTTCGAAGGCGTTTGACTAAATCTTAAATGCAAACCATAGCGCCGCACCCCCTCCCTCTTCCTCTCACCCGCGCCTCCCTCCCTCTCACCTCAGCGAACGGATGACTGCACGAGTCACATCTGCGGCCGATGACGCCGTTCTTACACGGGCACTGGCCGGTGAGGGGGTCACAGGCGCGGCCCGAGCTACCCGTGACGTCACACAGACAAGGGAAGCACACCTCGGAGCCGGGCGGACGGAAATGGCTCTCCTGAAATAATGGAGAAGGTGAGGGGCGATTTAGTGTGATGGGCCTCACATGCGTAACAAACATCGCATACACGTCAGTTAAAATGTCCATTCATAAACCTCCGTAAACAAGTGCAGCGTGTGCTTGCTCACATTCACACCTGAAGCAGATGGCTGATGGGTACAGGAGGATTGATGCCAAGAAGAAAAGGATCGACTTACCTTGCAGCGACATTCGCCCGTCTTTTTGTCGCAGTCGCTGTCGTAGCCCTTTTCAGTGTCGCAGTGGCAGGGACCACAGACTGGGTCGCCCCACCATTTGCTCGGACATGGCTGGATCATCCTGGCCTCGCAGTAGGCGCCTAAAAGGAGCAAATAGCGGTGTTACGGTCAAACAGCGCCCACGGCCCGATCAAAAGACGGATGCAACGCCCTACCCACAAACAAGGACCCAAGCTTTGTTATTCTAGTTTCAGGCGCCTGTTGGGGAGGGACAAGGACACATCAAATTCTTTTCACAGTGGTTGTGACTTAAAAACCTAAATGAATACCCTGTGCTAAACACCGTGTCAAAACACCGTGCAATGTGTCAAAGCAGCCTTGCGTCGGTTTCCAGAAAAGCCAAGTTTGTGCCCTTATGTCGCAACGTTCTGTGATAAGATCGCCAGCGTCAACCGGGTCAACGCAACGTTATCAGCTTCAACGTTGTGTCACGAAATCGCGACCCTTACCGGAGTCGAGCGGCGTCTGGCAGCGGCAGCTGTACCCGCGCCGGTCCGTAGGGTCCGCCACACACGTGGCATTATTGGAGCACGGCTGCAGCTCACAGACGGGCGCGCACTGGCTGCCCACGTGACCTGCAGCAAAGAGGATGGTCGTCAGAGCCTTCTAACCCGACGCGACGACACGCTCAACTAGCATAACGTCGCAGGCAACATCGCCCCTGAAGCTATCGTATTCGAGATTCGGTGTGCGCCATAAAGTCTATATACTAAGTCTACATGCATACATACTATATACATAACAAATTGGAACAGTTCACATGATATAATAAGCTTTATTCTTATCTAGACGTCTGAAAACAACAGCTCCAATCCCAGTGGTATCTTCATTGAGCATTATATATGTAGACAGCAACGTTTATACAGAGGGACGGCACAAATTCGGTACGGCAGGAATGCTCACCTGGCTGGCAGACGCACTCGTGGCCGCCCCAGCTGCTCAGGCAGGTGCTGCGCTCTGGACAGACATCTCCGCCGATATCGACACACTCGTCAGCGGCCGAACAGCCAGTGTTGGCCCGCACCGCCTCCTCCAGAGTTAGAGACGTGTTGGCGGAGTTGCCGACGCGAACCTCCTGTAGCAGAAGGAACACAGAGTGCGTTACTTCTCGTCGTCAACCAGAAAAAAGTGTATCGACATATTAGTAGACACTTAAGAGATACATAGCTAAAATTATCCCGAACCCTACTCCTACATACCAGTATAACGCCTTATGGGGCGACTGACGGAGCGAGCGAGAGGGTGGGCCTTGCACGTGCGAAATTGCGAGGGGTACCTCCAACTGACTTGTGCACGGCACCTTGCTAACCGGTCTCTAGCGATGTGCCAAATTTGAGCACAATCGGCCCAGCCGTTCTCGAGATCTGGAAGCGGCACCCTGCACGTGCGCACGTGCAAAATGGGTCCCAACTGACTTGTGCACGGCACCCTACTGTAGAGTTCACAAGCCGGCTGAGCTGTGGAAGTGTATTGCGCTATCACTGACCAAAACCAGACTGCCCTCTCTCTCCGATCCAGCACACACATCGCCTCGCTACATATCGGCCGACCGATCACACACTGACACATAACTCGGGTGGTGTGGCCTGATCACGCCACCCAGCCACCGACCAATGACAGGCGCCCACATCGTACCAGGGTGGGGTGACCCAGCACCCGGTCACATCGAGCCGGTACGAACCGGTACGGGGCGGCCCGGCAGGCGAGGCCCAAACCAGAACATCTCCCTCCCCCTGAAGAACTTCTTGCAAGAAGTTCTAGTCGCTGTAGCCGAGCCTGTCCGGACGATGTCGTTGACGTGAGCTGCGCCTCAGCCTTGCAGGGGGCAGCTGGAACCGGACCCGACGTTCAGGAACGTCAGATGGGTCAGGGTCCGTAGATTCGGGTGACGACTTGTCAGTTGCAGACGGCCTGTCTGCAGAGCGGAGGAAACGCCTGTTCCTCCATAGTACTCTTCCGCTGGGGAGCTTGACGTGGTAGTCTCGCTTGTAGCCCACGCCGATGATGACACCAACTTTATCCCATCGCTTGGTGATGGGATCCTGAAGTCGGACATCGGCTCCGATCTTGAGGGGTGGAAGGCTGCGAGCCGAGGAGTTGTAGTGCTGCTCGCGTTGAAGACGATCCCGAGCAGCCCTGGCATCGCAGTCGTCGGCGCGCAGTTGCCACTCCGGGGCGAACGCACTGCGATGAGCTGGAACCCAGGAGCGGATTGGATGGCCAAAGACGATCTGTGCTGGAGAGCGGCCACTGGCGCCAGGGGTGTTCCGCAGCTCCAACAGTCCCTGATGCAGCCGCTCATCGTCGACGGAGCCGTTGGTCGTCGTTTTGGCGATGAGGTGCTTGATGGTCTTCACCGCAGCTTCAGCATGCCCGTTAGACTGGGCGTAGTATGGCGTGGAGAAGACGTGGACCACGCCCCACCGCTTGAGGAAGGCGGCGATTTCCCTGCTCTTGAATTGAGGGCCACCGTCTGTGCGAAGCCGCACTGGTACGCCGAGTGTGACGAACACCTCTCGCAGAGCTTGGATGACCTGCCGACTGGTTGTGTCTCCTCGTGGGAACTGGAAGATCACTGGCCAGTTGGAGAGTCTGTCCACACAGACCAGGAAGTCTCTTCCAGAGAGTGTGAAGATGTCGGACGACAGATCCTCGAAGATTCTTGATGGTGGTGGTTCCAGCACTATCGGTTCCGGTGGTAGACTCGGTCGGCGCTCCTGGCAGGCGTCGCACGCTCCAACCGTGTTGGTGATGTCGCTGTTGATGCCTGGCCACCAAACGGTTTGACGAGCTCTGCGTTTGGTTCTATCGACGCCTTGGTGGGAAGCGTGAAGAGCCTCCAGGGTGGCCTTCCGTGAAGCCGCAGGGATGACGATGCGACATCCCTTGAGGATAAGGCCACTGTGTGTGGATAACTCATGACGGACACTCCAGAAAGGACGGAGAGGCTGAGGAAGCTGCTCCTTGGAGACAGGGAAGCCATCCGTGACAGCGCGCAGAAGGAGTTGGTACTCGCTGTCAGAACCGGCGACTTCAGTGAGCTTCTCCAGACGCGGGTCAGGCAGGTGAGTTTCACCTTGCAGAACAGTGATCTCTTGAATGGTGCTGACTGACACCCGGCGGACATGACATTCCACCTCCTGGACCAGTTGCTCGTCGTCAGCGGTGGGCTCATCGACAGGAGCGCGAGAGAGCGCGTCTGGGATGACGTGCTCCTTCCCACGGATCCACTTGGCGGTGAAGTTGAAGAGCGACGTCTTCTCCTTCAGTCTCTGTAGGCGGGAGTTCTCAATGGTGTCGAGAGTGAAATCGTTCAGTATCGGCAGGAGTGGCCGATGATCCACGAGGACTTCGAAGTGTGGGAGGCCGCGTAAGAAGATGCGACACTTCTTCAGCGCCCAGACGATCGCCAGCAGCTCCAGCTCCACCATGGCGTATCGGGTTTCCGTGTCCGAAAGGAAACGAGATCCGCATTGCACCAGACGCCAGTGGTTACCGTGGCGCTGAAGCAGGGCGTATCCGAGGCCTTTCCGTCTTGCCGCATCTGTCTGCAGCATCGTAGGCAGAGATGGGTCGAAGTGCGCCAGCACAGGTGGCGCTGCCAGAGCCGCTTTCATCGCGTCGAATGCGGCCTGATGGTCTGGAGTCCAGATGAAACTGCTGCTTGGCTTCAGTAGACCACGCAGAGGCTCGGCGGTCGAAGAGATCTCTTTGGAGAAGTCACCAAGCTGCTGGACGAGGCCCATGAAGGATCGCAGCTCCGTGATGTTGGTAGGCGGCGGGAACTCGGTGATGGCAGAGACCTTGCCTGGCTGGACTTGCTTCCCAGCAAGTGACAGCGTGAAGCCGCAGAAAGACACCTCTTCCACGGCGCAGAAGAACTTCTTCTCATTGAGGGTGATGCTGTTCTCCCGACAGCGGTCGAGAAGAGCTCGGAGATGACGCTCGTGCTCTTCCAGGGTTTTGCTATACACCAGGATGTCGTCGACGACTTTGACGAAGTTGTTGAGTCCCTGAAGAGCGATGTCACCCCGTCGGCAATACTCATCACCAGTCGAGATCAGGCCCATCGGAGCTCTGAGAAACTTGTAGCGGCCCCAGGGAGTTATGAAGGTCGTCAGATGTTGGCTCTCAGGATGCAGAGGCAGCTGCCAGTATCCAGACTTCGCGTCCAGTGTTGAGAAGAACCTCGCATCCGTGGGTACTTGTGAGATGGCTTCACGAGGCGTGATGAGGGGATGTAGTGGCCGCTTGACAAACTTGTTCAGCTTGGTGAGGTCTATGCAGATGCGTACACCAGTGTCCTTGGCAACCAGCACGAGAGGATGACACCAATCTGTAGGTTCTGCGCCGAGTGGTGCGATGATGCCTTGCAGAACCATCTGGTCCAGCTGCGTTTTGACCTCGTCCCTCCAGGCGAAGGGAACCTGCCGAGCCGTGCGGACCGCAAACGGCGTGGCTTCCTCAGTGACGTGGATGACCATTGATTCACCGGACATCGGTTGGAGTGAGTTCTTGCCGTCCGCCGTGAAGACATCACGGTATTCCTTGACAAGCTCTTGTCGCAGCTTGCCATGCTGCCGATCAGCAGACTTCGGATCCGTTGGCGACGTCCTCCCTTCTCCATCTGAACCGGTCGTGACGATGCTGTCAATAGCAGGTCGCTGACTTCCAGGCTGGGGGTAGTGGTCTGGTAGGATGGCCAGAGACTTAGCGGTGTACCAGGCCAACAGCATGCCGCGAGATTCCGTGAAGACGTACACAGTGTCTCGGATCCGCCTGTCTTGAAGGCTGATGAAGACCTCGAAGGTGCCAGTGCAGCGCATGGGTTGCAGATTGGCAGCGGAGATCTGGATACTCGGCGGTGGCGACAGATCTTCCTGCCGCACACCGAGCTGGCGCGCCAGCTCAGCACTCATCACAGAGATCTCTGCGCCTGAGTCAGGCGTGGCATCGACAGTACCAAGGAGGGTGCCGTCAGCACGCCGAAGCTGAACAGCAATCTTCGGTGCCTGCTGAGTCTTGTGCAGACTGCCGACCACGACTTGTGGAATGGAGACTTGGTTCGAGTGTCGGTTTCTGCTCCGAGATCGCTGTGCCTCTGGTGGCTGGTGAGCCTGCTGCCGTTTGCGGCATACCGCCGCCAGATGGCCCTTGGTGCCGCAGGAGTAGCAGGTGAGATTTGCAGCAGGACATGACCTCCTGGGATGGCCAGTGCCGCCGCAGCCCTCACATGGCCGTTCTCGTGATGGGCTCCGCTGATTCTGGCGTGATGACACCCGGGAGACGCTCTGATGGCCTTGAGTGATGTCCTGCAGAAGCTGGTTGTTGGCTTGAGAGGCCTCCTCCGATCGACAGATGTCGATTGCGCACAGCAGCGACGGGAATGGCCGGAGTGACAGCAGCTTTCGACGTGTATCCTTGTCGCGTATCCCGGACATGATGCGCGTTGTGATGCGGTCGTCCATGCAGGAGGAGCACAGCTCGGCGTCGGCTGCTAGCTCCTTGATCGCGATCAGGAACGAGTCGAATGACTCTCCCTCTTCTTGGTGTCGTTCTTCAAACTTTACCCGGTCGATGGCGACGTTGTGCTGAAGCCGCAGATACTGCTCGATCTTGTCCAGCGATGAGCTCACGTTGTCCGAGTGCGGGCAGATCCCGACGGCGTGCAGACTGGCGGCGCGCATGTCTTCGGTGAAGCACGCTCGCAGGTAGGCGAGCTGGTCCTCTTGACTAAGAGTAAAGATGCTCCCCAAGCGGTAGTAGTCATTCCAGGATGACCTCCAGAGGCGAAACTCACGGAGAGTGGCAGAAGACGACAGCTTCACTGGAGAAGATACCGGTGGCCGCCTGGCCCCGCTGTCTGTATGAAGCGGCGCAGAAGCTGAAGCAGAAGCTAGAGATGCTACAGCACCGGTTGCAGTAGACGGTCGTGTCGTTGCCAGCTCTCCAGCCGTCTGTAGTGAAGTAACAGGATTCGCCGATTCCACAGCGCCGTCCGTTGTCGGTTCAGCGAGAGCCGCAGGATCTACCGCTGCAGCTATTGGCTTCTTGTCAGGTGCCGTTGTTGCCGTCAGACGGTGTTCTTGTAGTTCCTTGCGGAAAAGCTCGATGTCTTGCTGATGTTGTTCGTGCTGTTGTTGAAGCTGCTGTTGTAGCTGCTGCTGGAGCTGAGCCAGCCACGGTGGTGGCGAACTGCTGTCTTGGTCGTCGGAGCCGTCCATCTTGCACTTGGAGCGTAAGCTGTACGGCATGCGTCGCCGGCCAGCTGGATAGGCACCGGTGGCGACACCTCAGCTTACTTGCAGCAGGTCCGTAGATGTCGGCTGCGCCATGTAGAGTTCACAAGCCGGCTGAGCTGTGGAAGTGTATTGCGCTATCACTGACCAAAACCAGACTGCCCTCTCTCTCCGATCCAGCACACACATCGCCTCGCTACATATCGGCCGACCGATCACACACTGACACATAACTCGGGTGGTGTGGCCTGATCACGCCACCCAGCCACCGACCAATGACAGGCGCCCACATCGTACCAGGGTGGGGTGACCCAGCACCCGGTCACATCGAGCCGGTACGAACCGGTACGGGGCGGCCCGGCAGGCGAGGCCCAAACCAGAACACCTACTAACTGGTCCCTAACCGTGTACCAAATTTGAGCGCCATCGGTCCAGCCGTTCTCGAGATCTGGAAACGACCCCTGCACGTGCGCACGTGCAGCAGCACCCCAACTCTGGCACATGGATATGCAGTGCCTAGTGGGTGCCTACCTACATGCCAACTTTCAGCGCAATCGGCCAAGTAGTTACCGAGATATTGCAACAATTACAAAACTGACACCTCTTCGTTTTGCACGTGGCACGTGCGTAAGGGGTCACGCACATGCATCGGGAATAGTCCAATACTTGGTAGAAGGAATGAAGCTACCCTACAAAAATTACCGCGTGTAAATCGGTCAAGTGGTTGCTGAGATATAAGCCTAGCAAAAGCGTCCGCACGGCCGGCCGGTCGGCCGGCCGCTCATACTCAGAAATTTCCGTTAATCTAAGGAAAGACTCCGCTCGCTTCGCTCGCTCCGTAATAAGGACACCGTCAGCGTACCTGATGCATAGTCGCTGAATTGGACGGCTCTGAACTCACCCGAATACAGCCAGCGACCACATCCATAGTCGCTGAATTGGATGGTTCTGAACTCACCCGGATACAGCCGATCAGTCCCGGTACGTCGCCCTCGCCTCCGCCTACGATCACCTCGTCCACATAGAGGCCGGCCAGCTGGGCGTCGCCCGCCTGAGTCAACTCATGATTACCGTAATCTGTGGACATAGGAGGCGGGAGATTAACGAAATGCGAGAGCATTTGTGACGGAAGTTTATCGTAGTTGGCAGGCACGGAAGTTCACGAAATTACTTATAACATGAATTTTGTTGTTAAGACGATAACATTAAAGCATAAGTGATGATAAAACCTTGCAGCGAAAAAAAAAACATGCCGAGCGCCGAGCAAAGTGAGTACCGTAAGGCCATTAGCCGCCCAAGGTATGAACGAACAGTGGCTGGCATTGATCAAGAACATGGCACCAGTACTGCAGCGGGGTACTTACCGAGATTGATCCAGACTTCTCCCTGCATCCACTTGACGAGGACGTGGTGCCACTGTCCGTCGTTGACCCGCACCGTGTCCAGGGCGGCCACGTCATTGGGGTAGTGGTACTCGATGTAGCCGCCTCGGAGCTGCCGAGCAAATGGTCAGAGTAAAAATCGGAGGAGAGAGTGTGCGGAGGGATAAGGACACTAACATACAGAGCATAGCAGCATACGGGCAAAACACAATGAGACACGCAGACGCGTAGACACGGGTAGGACACAGTGAGTAGAGTGAAACACAGGTAAAACAAGGTGGAGCAACCGAAAACACAAACAACGTTTAGGCATAATTCAATGCCCTAAGGATCGACCAAGGATTCTTTCCTGTTTACTTTTGCGCAGCAACGCATGGTTAGACGCGAATTTAAAAGAAAATCATTGAATTTACTTACCATGAGCCGAGTGCGCAGGCCGTCTCCGAAGCTGAGTTTCATCAGCAGCGCGTCGGCAGACCGTGTTCGGAAGGCCAGCCCGCTGTACCAGGGCATGGTGACCGCCTGGATGCGGCTGATGTACGAGATGTGGCCGTCGCCCCGCAGCTGGTGGGGAGTCTCCGCGTCTGAGGGGTCATAGGTCACGGGTCAGCCACAGGACGGAGATGTCGCACCACAGCAAGAGTCAGTAGCTCAGTCTCGATAGAAAAACTGGTCAGTGACCGAAGAAGCAATTACAGAGATCAGCTAATTATGCTGGTTATCCTACACCATGCAGAACTTGTTTGAGGCTTCAAGTAACTCGGCGTGTTCCTGGTCATCTAAGTCTAGGGATTTGTAGGAGTTGTCTCTGATCACCACAGTTCGTCCGCCCGGCAAATCCAAAGGTCTCAAGAAAAAAGTGAGTATTCCAAACTTACAAAGTCAGACAAAGCACGGTCTTCTGCACCACCTCGGCCACACCACAGAACGCTCAACAACACCTTCCAGTCTCAGCCCTGACTCCCGACTGACTCAGCCTCTTAATCCCGAACAATGGCCGGGCGTGCCCTCCGCCCCCTCCCCTGCGGCGTCAGTTCACCGACCCCATTCCCCTGCGGTGTCAGGTTCACCGTCGGCGGGCGCGTGACGGCCGCCCGTACCCAGGGCAGCGTCCAGCGGCCAGGTCCGGCCAGCCAGCGCTCGCTCCGCTGCACCACTACATTTCACTACACTCCCCCCCGATCCTGATCGCAACCAACAGACGCTAGTGCTCACATCACACGCTAACAACGCTCATACGTAGGTATCTAAGACATCGCTCGGCACGGGGTCTCCGTACAACTGCGTGACAGGCCGAGCCCGCGTACCTCGCCTCGGCCCAGCCTCTGTGTCACTCGCAGCTTCCTCCTGTTGGTCTTGCTGGTCGTCTCGGTCATGCCGGTCGATGGGACACCGTACAAAGCAGGGCTCCTCATCCCCAGAAACTGGTTGCTCTGCCTCTGCGGAAACTGGTTGCTCTGCCTCGTCTGCACGCGGACGCAGATGACGGACATGCCTTGGTACACCGTCAACTTCGACAGTTTGCGGTGACACCACACCAGTCACCACTCCCCTGCCATACTGCTCTTCACAGCGTGCTCTCGGTGATTTCACCCAGACAGCATCTCCGACGTGGTAGCGGCTCTCCTGCTGTCCATCGTCCCTCACTGTCGGAACGGGGTCGACGTCTTTCACTCGGACGTCGTACCGATACACCATACCAGCAGGTGTCGTAGCTTCAGTGACATCGTCCTTCGGCGTTGTATTGTACCTGTATACTGCCTCTGCCACCCCACATTTCGCTCTCGTCGCAATCACCTTTATGGAGCGATGGTTCCTTTCGACGACTCCGTTCCCTGACGGCACATGCGCCGCCCTGTATCGTACTGCGACGTTCCAGTCGTTGGCGAAAGCTCTAAACGCCCTGCTGTGGAAGGTGGTGGCATTGTCCAGCAACATTTCTGCCGGCGGTCCCCGCTCGCAGAATATCGCCGCCAGCTCCGCAATGACGCATGCGGCGGTCTCGTACCGCAGGAGACGCCAGATCGCAAACCTGGATGGGCCGCAATCCACCACCGTTAGGTACAGACACCCATGATGGTGAGTCACGTCGACGGCGACTCTGTCCCACGTGGTGTCGACCTCCAGGCGGCCTTCGCGCCACTTTTCAGGAGCGGGATCAACAGACCTGCACGTCTGACAGGCCGACACCACGGCCTGCGCAAGTCGTCTCGTAGCGAGCTTGTTCGCCCTCCTAGCGAAGTATAGCGTCCTCCGGACACCAGGATGACCAGAAGCGTGGTGAATTTGGGTCACCTCTTTCACCAGCCTGTCGGGGTCGTCTCCGTCTCCCACAGCACATGCTGCAGCCTCCTCTTTGCACATAAGCACCCGTTGCCAGGCGTCCGGCACTCTCGTCAGTGCGTCCGCTTTGTTCTCAGCCGACGAGACACACTGAACATTCACGTCCAGCTCGTACTCGTCCACGAGCATCCTGAGGGTGCTTAGCCTTCTTCTTATCAACATTTCAGAGGCAGCTTTCGTCTTCAGTCGGGCCCTGCCACTGAGGAGGTCGGTCATCCAGTGGTACACTGTCCGCGAGTCAGTCATCAACCGGACTCTTTCCGCGCCCCACAGGATGGCCATGTTCACGCCTTTCAGGGCCGCGTCTAGCTCTGCCATGTTGATGTGTTGTACTCCATTGTCGGGGCGAAGCCAGCTCCCGTCTTCCACTACTTCGTCACCCACTTCAACAACTACTCCCATGGCCAGAGCACTGGCATCCGTCCACACTGTGATTCTGTCGCCCTTCACATCCCACCGTCCCCTGGCAGGATCCTCTGCTCTGACCCGCTTCACAATTTCGTCCATTAGACGCTCCACGTCCGGGTCGTCAATCTCGTCGTCCCAGCCACTTGCTGCTCTGTTCGCACGTCGTTTGAGGAGCGAGGTCGCCGGCCGCAGCCAGCCGCACACCGGAAGGTGTCCCGTCAGCTGCCCGCAGAGGGAGAACACTTTCCGCTTTGTCACCGGTCCGGCAACTTCTCGGACATCGTTGTCTCTCTTCCACATGAGTGCGCCTTGCTCCCCCCAGACTCGGAGGCCGAGAATCCGAGCGCCTTCCTGTGCGCGAGCGGGGTCCTTACACTCGAGACCGAAGGCTTGAAGGTGCTCGGCCACCTTCTCGGCCGACATTACCTCCTCGTTGACCAGAACGTCATCGACATACGACGATACTGCCTTCTCCACGTTCTTGTCCTGCTTCGCCACTGTCTCCAGAACTGTCTTCATGACTCGGGGTGCCACATTAAGACCATACCCAAGTCTCGTCAGACAGTACCTTTTGTTTTTGAACTCGATTGTCTGATAGGGCCACAGTGACTCCTCCACATGTATCTGAAGGTACGCCTTCTTCAGATCCAGGAGTGCCACTTTCTCACCCGTCCGGCGCCATTCACGAAGTTTCTCACTGCACACGTCAACGTCCGCCGTGAACGTGTCGACGTGAGTGTTCATTTCCCGGAAGTCAAGGACCGGCCGCACTTTCGCCTTGTTCTCTTGAACCACCGCCATTAACGGTATCAGCCCTTTGGGAGCGCCATGCTTTTCTTCGTCGTACTCCAGCAGCCACCCGTTCTCGATCCACGTCTCCAGCTCTCTCTCATAGTCCTCTCTCGCTTCATCCGTCACATGGTACTCGCTCACTCCGTTTTTCAGTTGATCTGGCGGTTTCTTTCCCGACCACTTCCACTCGACAGTCTTGCGCCTTTCCCTCGCATCGAACACGACTCGAAAGTCCTCCTTTTCCACCGCTAGGTCCACGGAGCCTCCTGCTCCGGCGCACACGTCTCCCTCGCCTGCAAATCGCACATCAGTAGAAGAACGCATGGTCACACCCCCAAGAGCTTTCACACCATCCATTCCTAAAATTGCTCCGAAACCCAGCGGCTTCACCGCTACAACCAACGCATCAAGCACCACAGCATCACCCCCAGGTACCCCAACATCGGTTTCAGCCGTGCCCGCACAGTCCACTCTCTGACCACTAACTGTCACCATGGACACAGAACGCCTCTTCCACTCGGCGCAGAGCGACGAATGAACCACCGTTCTGGTACATCCCGTGTCGATCAACACCTCACACAACACCCCGTTCACATTCAGGTGTCTCGTTGGTAGTGCGCCGCTCCATCTTAATCCCGAGAGGAGGCCGGCACACGATCCTCCTCTCTCTCCGCGTTTTCCGGACAACGAGCTGCGATGCGACCAGTCTTGTCGCACCGGAAACACCGGATTTCGCGGGGGCCAGTGCGGGCCGAACATTCACGGGCGAGATGCCCCAGGCGGCCGCAGGTAAAGCAAGGTCCGCGCTCTCTCCTGCCGCTACTAACGGTTCGGCCGCGATCCCGACCGCCTGGTGACTCTTTGACCAGCGCGGCTGCCACCTCCGATGCGCCGTTCTCCTCTCGCAAGATGGCGCGAGCCCTGTCCACCACCTCCGAGAGCTTTAACGACTCCATGCGCGCTCCAGCTCGCAGTATCTGCCTGGTAGAGTCCGGCAGACCTGCCACAAAGGCACACCCCAGGCCCTCGTCCGACATTCCTCCGAACAGCGTCGCAAGCTGCTGCAGCTCCGCCAAGAAAACATCAACTGTTTCCCCGGGGCGGAGACGGCGGGTGCTGAACTGCTCATACGCAGCGTATTTATCCACCGCAAACGCACGCTTCAGCGCATCCTTGAGCTTCGCCACGTCCTTCCTGTCAGCCTCCACCAGCTGCCGATACACAGCAGATGCTCCTCCTTTCAGCCGCAGGGGTATCACCAGCGTCTGCCTCACTGGCGGCTCCTGCAGCCCGCACACTAGCTCGACCTTCTCCAGCCAGTCGAGCACGTCACCGGAGCCGTCGAATTCCGGAATTAATTTGACATCAATCAGACAAAGCACGGTCTTCTGCACCACCTCGGCCACACCACAGAACGCTCAACAACACCTTCCAGTCTCAGCCCTGACTCCCGACTGACTCAGCCTCTTAATCCCGAACAATGGCCGGGCGTGCCCTCCGCCCCCTCCCCTGCGGCGTCAGTTCACCGACCCCATTCCCCTGCGGTGTCAGGTTCACCGTCGGCGGGCGCGTGACGGCCGCCCGTACCCAGGGCAGCGTCCAGCGGCCAGGTCCGGCCAGCCAGCGCTCGCTCCGCTGCACCACTACATTTCACTACAGGATTTTTCTTTTCTACTATTGCAGCTTAAATCCCAAATGTCACGTTTCACTTAACGACCCAGTTGTGTTGTGAGCCGACACTGTCGGCAGATTCCGACCACCCAGATCCAGCCGACACTCACCAAGGGCGCAGTTTTTGCCGGCGTGTGTGTCTTGGCAGCGGCAGACGTAGGTGCCCCAGCCCTCGGTACAGGTGCCACCGTTCTGACACGGGTGGGAGGCGCAGAACCGCTGCTTCTCAGAGCAGCCGGCCACAGTGCTGTTGTTGGCCACATAGCTGACGAGAGGACACACACAAACACACACCTCAGCTCAGGCATTCAGGCATAGAGGCACCCAAGGCTCGGGTCGGGCTCGGGTCAGGTCAAAATGCAAGCCTGTCAAATCAGACTCACAATACAATTCAGGTTAGTCTTCGTGTGAAGTCACGTTGAACCACAAACCAGGCTTTGCTAGGTGTGTCTACAAATCAGGTCAGGTCACGCTCAACAGACAATGCCAGGTCATGCAATAGAATTCGTTAGTTGGCTAGAATGAAATATCGCAAAGCTTTTTTATTTTTACGATAAAACGGCAGCATTATCATGTCCGACATCACACATTGTCTCGCCCATCGACCACACAGCTACCTACTTGTCCAGGTCGAGCAGCTTGTGGTCAATGAAGACGTCTTGAATGCAGCCGCTGAAGTGCTGAGATTGCACCTGGAACTTTGTGGGCAGCGAAGGCAGACCGCCGATTTGGAGAGGTCCAGTCAGGTCGATGAACCGCTGACAAAACTCGGTCTGCTGGTGGCACCTGGAAAAGGAGAAAAGATAACGTTTAGAACGAGCAGTATGTTTGAAACTATATGCACAAGTATCCACATGCACCTACACACACGCATGCACACACAAATAGACATGCACATATTTCATATTTTTTATCTAATATCCGTTCTTCTGCACACCGCTCGCCGCTCATCCACCCTCCAAAGAAAAGCAAACCACACTTATCAGTCTGCCGGTAATTGAAGCCAGCCCGTCGATAACACTCCGTCCCTGCCCCTGCTCTTATTGGGGACAGAAAGCGGTCGACTCACCGTCGCTCCAGCTCGAAGGTAGTCCTGTTGGCGCACTGGTACTTCTCCATGCCATGAGCGCGCATCAGCGAGAGGCCACTGTCGCAGCCGTCCATGATGATTGTGGCAGTCTGAGGGGAATGGAGATACCATGTTGTATACTCTGCACTCAGGAAAAACGGTGGTACACTGGTACACCATTACCACATCACAACATAGAAACTTATATAAATCTTTACAGCAAGTCACTGTTGTGAGACAGTGACCGAGAATAGATGGAGAGAAATGCCCACTCAGATGGAACAGATGGGGTGGACTGAGACAGTAGCAATATGCGACCCAAGTCAAGTGATTTGGCAACCTACCCTCCTCTCTAACTAGCCGCCCTAGTACACTGAAAGGATGCCAGATCTTAGTTCGAGAATTAGCGTAAATTTTACGAAATGTTATGCATTTGTGCCTTTTACGGCTTTGAGGAATACCACAATGTCTCCCATCGCTAGGCGCGATCGTATATCATCGCCCAGCTCCGACAGCTCCACTCACCCGGTTATGGTAGTCGAGCTCGACCTGGTGCCAGTTGCCGTCGCTGACCCCGCCCGGCACGTGACCGGTCACGTGGTGCGCGCCGCTGCCGACGCTGAACGAGAACCGCACCTGGCCGTCCAACACCTCCAGAGCGATGAAGTCGTGACGCTCGTTGTAGCGGCCGTTATAGAGCAGCAGGCCGTCCCGGGACCGAGTGGCGAACCTGGAGAGGAGAACGACGAGTTAATGCTATTCATATTGGGATTTTACGGATATTGTATTCAGCCTGCCCGCTTTCGCTAAGCAAATGAAAATCCGCAGAGGCGGCATAAATTTCCCGCCCGCCAGCTATATCTCTTCTATCACAGGACGCGACAATGTCGGTGACCGCAAGTTATACCGACCATGAATAACCATCGATTGTTGAAGCGTATCCCATCGGGCTTTCATCTCTCATCGGCTTAGCGGTCCAACGCCATCGACACTGGTCGGACAGAACCGTTAGCTTGACGTTAAAGGGACCCTCCCACCTTCAAAAAAGTCTATGAATTGGCATGAAAGTGATGTCGCTCGGTTCAGAAAGAGCGAAAACGAATATCTACCAAATTTCATTGAAAAATATTCACCGGTTTTCAAGATATTAGACTTTTACTTTTGTTTACTTTTTGGGATCTCCGCTGTTCCTAGCGACTTTATTTAAAAGTGCGGCATTTGTTGCGCGCAACGCAGCATATACCACCGCGTGCTACAAAACGTTTTAGTCAAACATTTAAAAATCGTTAGATATCTGCGCTGACGTCACACATTCAGAGGGGTATTCCAATGCATTAGCCCCTCTGAATCAAAATGCTGCAATTTTGAAATTCAATATTTCCGATTTAAGGCATTTCTCGATGTTGTGAGTGCCGAAACCGGTAATTGTGAGCCAGGGACCCCATTTTGGCTATCTCAACTCAAATCTAATGTTAAGGTGGGAGGGTCCCTTTAAGTCGGCTCGCCTCACCTGAGTCCGATATTGAGTCCGCTGTGGCTGACCCGAGCCTGATATTGAGTCTGCTGTGAGTTAACTGACTGAATATATCTAGGTAGCCCACCTGAGAGCAGAGAGATCGACTCACTTGAGCTTTATATTGGATCGACGCGACAGATGAGTTTGCTGTTGAGTCGTCCCATCTCATCTGAGTTTACTATTGAGTCGTCCCACTCGCCTGAGTTTGATACCCATTGAGCTGGCCCCATTTCACCTGAGTCTCATATTGAGCCGATGACACTCACCTGAGTTTGATATTGACCCGGTGTCGCTGGTGAGAAGTCTATTAAACTCACCTGAGTTTTATATTGAGTCGGTGCCGCTGGTGCAGCGCCGGGGAAGGTGAGGAAGCTGAGAAATATATTAAACTCACCTGAGTGTAATATTGACCCGGTGTCGCTGGTGAGAAGTCTATCACTCTCTCACCTGAGTTTGATGTTGAGCCGGTGCCGCTGGTGCAGTGCGGGGAATGTGAGGAAGCTTCCCTCGGAGAAGCTGCGCGCTGTCAGCTGACAGTGCTGGTTGCGGTAGGGCGAGTTGGTGCAGTTGTCGCACAGGAAGCCGCCCCGCTGTAGGTTGACGCACACAGAGCCGCCATGACAGACGGGGTGGCGGTCTGAGCCGTCCGATGGATCGGTCGGACAGGAGCCTCGAGTCGTGTCCAGCTCGCAGCTCTCACCTGTGGTAGGAGTTACGGCGGTCATATATTGGACAAGTTTAGAAGTAATACACGCGCTCAGAGACGGAGACAGGCCGACACACGCACGCACAAACCGGGAAGTTAGTTAGCGAGAAGTCAAACTAGACCACAGTTTTATAGAGGGATATGACATGAACGATAAAGGAAGCGACAGTACTAGCGAGCGGCAACGGAAGCAGAGGCGGAAACAAAACAAGTAGTTGCGACTGAATGGGTTGTCCAGCACAGCCTGCCGCCAATTGCGATTTCGGTCGACTGACATGGGACCTTTTAGCCGTCACGGGTTACGTCTGCTGGTCGCGCTCAGTCGCCACTCACCAGTGAACCCGTCGGCGCAGACGCACGTGTAGCCTCCCTCTCTGCGCTGGCACGTGCCGCCGTTCTGACACGGCTGACTGTAGCACAGGTTTACCTCCGTGTCGCACTCGTAGAACTCGCGCATCCCTGCAGAGCAACGGGGACAAGTTATAGATATAGGGACGTTTCGCAGATCGAGCCACTAGAAACTCTTAAACATCGCACAGAAGTCTGAACGACTCGAATCGGTCAAAAAGCAGCTTTCCATTTAGCTTAGGCATCGCCTTTTAAAGGAAATAGTTCACTTTTTAACATGGGTTTTGAACTGGAATAGCAGTTCCGTAGCTTGGGCTGAGACGAGCATAAATCAGGAGCTTTTACAGCCCAACGATCACCCTAGGCAAAGATATTCTATTTCTCGTCCCGAAAAAGGTGTCTTGCGTTGAGGATGTGTGCCTTGCATATATTTCCATCCAGTATGAAAAGAGCATGGGTCCCGAAAATTCTTCAGAAACTAGAGAAATTATCTACGAGAACTCTAGAGAAATTCTCGTACTGATCAATTACGACATTCAGGGGAACATTATCAGATCGAGCAGATCGCCCAAATGCCGGTGGCTGCGATAATTTCTCTGTTTCTGAAGAATTTTCGGGACCCATGCTCTTTTCATACTGGATCGCGTGTGCCTTACAGAAACTGAAAAGTTCTTCCTATATCAAAATATAGAAAAAAAAATCTTTTGTTATAAAAAGGTTTTATTTTCTTTGCTGATTATTTTGAACATAAAAAATAATAAATCGTTGCAAAAAAAAATAATTTCGTGAAAGTGAACTATTTCCTTTAATGTTTGTGCTGTATTCAAACCGATTGTTATGCGGATAGGAGCTAATCTGCTTCTAAGCGGCTCAAAATTGGAATGGCTCCAGAAGCTCACCTGACGAGCCTTGATAAAAAATGGCGAATGAAATATAGGTACCTAACGATTTACTGGTCCTCAACCTAAGCCACGCAAAGCGAGTGGATTTGTCACTCACCAGCGAACCCGGCCGGGCATCGACAGGCGAACGTCGTCACTGGGAATATGGGCCGGAACAGAATGGTCGGGCTGTGCACGAAACCGGAGGCATTGCCGAACTTGAGCACCGTCAGACACTTGTCGAAGTTGAGGCACGGTTCGCGCACGCAGAGGTCGTCGTCGAACGGTAGAACCTGCCGGTAGGACAGCGTCAGGGACCGGACAACAGCATATGTCAGCATAATTGTCAGCAGCCGAGCCGGGCAGGAGTCGTCAACGGCACGTCGTTTAGCGTTGAGTAGCCCCAAGTGTGTCGTAAAGTGCCGGCTGCGTGACCTGGAGGTTAAATGGCTGGAAAGGTCACGAAGGTAGTTGGCTGTCAAATGCTCCAATTTCCATCAACGCCTATGGCATACAGTTGCACCTGTCTAACGACAGGTGCATATAACGAGGAAGGCTGCAAATGATTTGAAGCGTTCTGAAACCTGCATCCGTTCAGAACGTGCACGAGGATCACGAGGATCAACCATTATTAATGAGCCGCAACACCACAGGCGTTTCAAGCTGTACAAGACGAACTTCGCTCTATCCTCATGGGAGCAGAGGGCAATATGTGATTCGCTGCACCGAGGACCTCCGGCCGTCTGGTTGCCTTCCCTGGCGAAGGAACACTTCTCGACTCGGTCAGTCGCCTGTCACACGGATCACTCACCTGAACAGCGGCCAGCTTGGCCAGTCGCGCCCTGTTGAGGTAGACCTTCTCCTGGATATGCTGCTGGCTGAGGAAGGGACCGTCGAAGGATCCACCGAACGCACCCTGAGCGTCCAGCGCCGAGAAGCTGACGTTCAGAATGCGCTCAGGCACATCGGTGTCATCCTGAGGGAGAAACGGGCGGCATCAGACCATGAACGGGTTGATAGGATTTGCACTTTGACACTTTGTCAATACGGTCACTTTGTCAGCGCTGTAACGTTCGCCTGAGAGCACTTTTTGACTTCTCAGCTGGTCTCCGAATTGAATCGTCAACGTCGATCTAATCGTGATATAGTCGTATGTCTAAGGTAGGTACATGAATATCACACCTGCCCAGTCCTGCATTTGAGCTATTACCTGCACGTTGAAGATGATGATTTGCTCCTTGGCGACTCCCAGGACGGAGGCCAGGCCGTCTTTGAACAGAGTGAAGATCCGAGGACTCAGGAAGGCCTGTGACGTCATCTCTGCCAGCCTCAGCGTCACAGAGTTGAACAGCATTTTGTCGGTGACCAGACGAACGTGCAGCTCGAGGAAGGCGGAGTCTTCGTTCCGTCCATCTGAAAACGGCAACAGACGGTCGAAAGTCAATGGCAGCGGCATAACGTCAATGACAAGGCGCAACAGTGAGTATCGAGTGTCGGTATATTAGTCACGCTAATGGTAAAATGTATGTTGCTGGCGATCGTTTATCGAGAAGGCTTTGTCTACTTCGGCGAACCCCGATCCAGGAGAACAACTGAAGACAATAGCAGACGGTTGCAGCAGATGTCATCCCTAGAAGACTAACAGAAAACAGCATCATAGACCGTCGAGCCGCTCCCAAAAACCATCTCCAGTTTCGACCCTGTCGACCCTCGTCACTCGTATAGGTGGCACCAGCGATGCGGCGGCTCCCGTTTTCGGGCCGGGTCGGACGCGACGGGGCGGCGCCGGGTGGGTACGATCGATGCTGCGCCGCCAGGGAGCGGGGGCCGTCTGTCGTCCAGCCAGACCCTTATCGACCGAACTCCAGGTAGCGGCAGCACCAGACGCCCTAGGCCTGCACCCCCAACACCCCGGCTTAGTCCATCCTTTGTTGGACTTGCAATCACTGTGGTGCTGGGTGCCGAGCGATCGAGCAACTCGCATGCATGGGCGCATCGCTAACAGACTTCGTGCTGGTATTGTCATGGCATGTCGATTTCACAAGATGCGTCCCCATTGCTCCCATCGCTCTCTTTGCGAGCTCGTATGACCGCGGTATGCGCGGTTAGCGGTAAGACCGAATGGTCTTTCAAGAGAGTCCAGCACTTTAATCCGGGGGATCCATGGTGAAATAAATCCTCTTGGAACAAGTCGCAAGTTACGAGATACAGCTGTAACTGTTTCAGATCACAAGTTAGGAGGTGTAACTTCTGCCTCAAAGTTGTTGCGAAGAGAAAAGAGTTATGTACATAGGCTGGTCCATACCCGATTTATGTTCCGAATCGGGATTGAAGCGAAGCACCGTTAGGACCCATCGTAACGTAACCAAGGGGTGGCGGAGATAAAAGGAAGAAGTCATGGGCGGGTGTCAGCCGCACCAATTCTTTCGGCATTTGGGCATGAGCCCTATGATGATGCATGTTACGAATAGCCTAAATTAACTAAATCAATGGTGTGAATGTCCTAAATCAACCATTAGAGTCCTGCCAATAAATCTTGAAAAGTGACACCCGTGGGAGACGTCCTCAGACGCTTGCGTCACGGAAAAGCCCCCAGCAGGGCGCAGGCGACGGGCAGATCACCTATCCTCTCTGATTACGAAGCTCCCGAGAAAACTCGACACCTGTCTCAGTAGCGGTGTGACTGACTGAGACGCAGAAGTCGCCAGACGACACCGTTGTGTCGTCGCCCCGCTGTAATGACTTGATTACCCTAACGACTGAAATGACCATAATGACTGTAATGATTCCGAGAGAAGATTGTTCAGGCCGCAGGGCAGAGAAAGGAGGCGGGCGCACAGGGCATGCCCTGACCGTGAGACCAGAAAGAGTGGAGCAGGCTTTGACCCCGCAGTGAGAAGTTATGGTGAAGAGTTACTCACCTACTACGGTCTACGAGAGATTTAGATATGAGATGCCGGTACCGTCCAGTGTCGTGACGAGAGGAAGAAAGTAGAAACAATGAAGCCTGATTCCAGATCCACCAGATCACAAATCATCCTTAGCGCTATGACTTATGAGCGAAAGATCATGTGTACTCAAATGTCCACACACTATCCAGCATAACCCAGACGACGGAAGGATCTGGAACAAAAAAGGGAAAGCCATTAAGTGGTTCGTTGTCTGGCTTGGTCCCGTATATGAATGGACGTCTCGTTGCCCGGCTTTCCTACATACATCAGTGACGCTAACAGCCCGCTGCTGTCCGGCCCTGCTCCTTTCATGAGTGACATGACATGACAGCCCACTGTCGGTCTCAGCTCGGTGCTGACATGCAGCGTACGCCGACCAATGGTCAGCGTGCCGACCGGTGAGCTAATGACCGCCGGTAACCTGTTCCACCGGCCGCGCCGTCGGGCGGCTCTTTGTCTCCCGGCCGGCGGCGGCGAGCGGTCGGCAGGATAGCCGGCCGGCCAGCTCGCCGCCGTCACGGCCTTCATACCTGACCGCTCCGGGCAGAGGTCCGGCCAGGAGTCATTTCCGGCCGCGCCGCGTGCAGCCCACGACACCGGAGGCGGCGGCGGCGGCCGTCTCAGCCGCGCGGCGCCCGCGGTCGGGCCGGCGACCCTTCACTGCGGCTCCCAGGCCTGGCTGCGGCCGGTGAAATGCGCTCCTGTGCAGGCCCCTGGCAGTGGTGCCGCCGCGGTGGGGCGTTCGCCGGTGTACCGGCCGTTGGGTCGGAGCGTGACGGAGGCCGCCGGGTCCGGGCGGCGAAGGGCCCGCTGGACGCCACGGCGCCGTTTAAATCCAAAGCAAGGTCCGCACGGCATACCGAAATCAATCGTGACCGACCTACATAAAAACGGTGACTGGCATCTTGCTGGCTCCTTTTGAGGACCGCTTAGGGACACTCCAGCGCACTAGACAAAATCGGAGGCGGCGAACCACATGAGCTCATGCTAAAATACACAACTCAAAACAGATCTCATCCATAGCATTGAGAGTCGGGGGATTTGGGTTGTCACCTGTTGTGCGAGTAGATATCTGGAGATCGTGTTCGACCGGACTTCACCCGTATTTGTTCCGGACAATGACCGGTGACCCGGCCGGCGACTGACCTGACACGGAGATCTCCATGGTGGCGGTGGTGCGCACGTTGGTGTTGAGGCTCGGAGACAGGGTGATATCTCCGGTGGTGCTGTTTATTAGCAGGAGGTTGGCGTTGTTTCCAGACAGCACCGTGTATGTCAGCTGCAAACACAAACACAAAGAAAGATTATTATCATATTTAACATTCATATTTGTGATCTATAAGCAACAGATTAGCTTTATATGCATAATAAAATATAGCAAAATGTCGCCCATCTTCGCGTATTGAAAAGTTATAATTATACGGACGGCATTTGGCCACATTGGTACAACCGTGGTAATGATGAAGTCTTTACAGCTGTACACTGTAATTGAATTCTTGTAATGTATACGCCATGTGCGGTTGAATGGTTTAGATAGCCCTGGGCTGAATACTGTCAAAAGAACGATATGTATTGCGCCGAATATGAATGTCTCCACTCCAGAGACTACAAACAATGTTTAGAAATGTGGGGCGTCCGATAAATCGAATGAAACTCAACGGACTATAATCGAAGACGAAATAAGTATTGATCGATATAGCTATTTGTATATTGATATATTGATATCAATAAGCTGATTACCGTGAAACTAAGCGACTTTGCACTTGAAGAATTATTCATAATCACTATATTTATTGGCTGATTTGGTAAAATTATAGTTTATGGTCAGTGATCTTTTTAATGACGCAGGCTCAATCAAACGAGAACTTGTGTGTGACGGATTACGGTATTTACGTGTGCAATGCTTTTAATACCATAAGTGAACCGCAATATTACAACATGAGAAATGGTCAGATGCACTGGAGGCTTACGCCTCGCCGTGCCTCCTTATCTTAATAACGGGCCTCACCTGATCAGTGGCATCCAGATCGACGGCGGGCACCCGACCGATGGGGCCAACGGGGAAGTGGTTCAGGTAGTTGTTGAAGATCACCTGGAAGTTGCTCAGCGTCGGAGCGTTATCGTTCACATCCTGCACGTTGATCTCGACACTGACGTAGCTCTGGAGCGGAGGCGACTGCGCCAGGATGACTAGCGTGAACACCTTCTTGTCAGACTCGTAGTCCAGCTCCTGTCTGGTGAAGAGCTCGGCGTCCTGGGCCATAGGACCTCCGGTACGCAGCTCGAACGAGGCAGAGTCAGCGCTCTCCACCATAGAGTACTCGACCAGCGCGTTCGCTCCGGCGTCGGGATCGTGTGCGCGGATCTTACCCACTGATGAGCCGATCGGTGAGTTCTCTGCGATAAACAGTCGTAGCGGGTTCTCCTCGAACACCGGCGGCGAATCGTTGACGTCATCCACGTCGACAACTATCTTCACCGAGCTGGACATGGCTGGTGCGCCCTGATCCACAGCGAGAGCCACCAGTTCGTACTGTTCCACTGTCTCTCGATCAAGCTGCCGACTGGTACGAATCACACCAGAGCTCGGGTCCACTGTAAACGCTCCGTCTCCGTCTCCACCCTCAGCGAACACATACCTCACTCGTCCGTTCAGACCACGATCGGCATCAGAGGCTCGAATGGTGAGCACGCTCGTACCGCGGACCTCATCCTCACTGATGGAGGCCTGGTAGCTGTCCTGATCGAAGCGCGGGGCGTTATCATTGACATCAGTGACCAGAACCTCCACGTCAGTGGTGTCAGACATCATCGGCTGGCCGTTGTCTCGAGCTGACACCGTGAGGAGGTACCCGCTGCGCCTCTCTCGGTCGAGCTGCTGGGTGGTGGTGATCTCACCCGTCGTCGGGTTCACGGCAAACTCTGCCTCCGGCTCGCCCGTCAGCTCGTAAGTGATCCGCGCGTTCTCGCCCGAGTCGAGGTCACTAGCCGAGACGGTGAGGACCACGGTGCCGCGCGGAGCGTCCTCCAGTACGCTGACGCTGTACGGCGTGTTCTCGAAGACAGGAGGGTGCGTGTTGGCGTCTGTGATGTTGATGTAGACAGTTGCAGAGTCGGATCGACCGCCAGAGTCGGTGGCGGAGACTTTGAGCACATAACGCCGCTCTAGCTTGAAATCCAACGGCTGTGTTAGAGCAATCAGACCCTTGCCATTCTGCAGACCGATGCTAAATCGGCCGCGTTCATTACCCTGGGTAATCTCATAGTGCAGCCGGCTGGCCTCATCCGGATCATGAGCCTCCAGCTCGATCACCCTGGTACCGGGAGGTGCCGTCTCGGACAGCGACGTCTCGTACACTTTGGGATCAAACACCGGGTCGTTGTCATTCTGATCCTGAATCGTGATCAGAACTCCGGCTGAAGCAGACAGCGGCGGCGTGCCACCATCGGTAGCAACCACCTGGAACTCATACTTGTGCTTCTCCTCTCTGTCTATTTGCCGCGTGGTACGTAGCCACCCGGTGCTCTCGTCGACTTCGATGGGCATCCCGGCCACGTCGGGCCCGGTGAGCGAGTACCGCACCTTGGCGTTGGCACCGTCGTCCACGTCGAAAGCCTGCACGCGCACGATGGTGAAGCCCTCGGGGACATTCTCCTGCACGGTCTCGTGGAAGTTCTCCGAGTAGAAGCGCGGCTTATTGTCGTTGACATCCTCCACATTGACGAGCAGGTTGGTGGTGTTGGAGCGACTCGGCGAGCCGCCGTCTGAAAAGGAGAACGATAGATTAGTGTCACAATATTTCATATTTGTCCAGCGTAGGATTAAAAATGAACTAAAGAGAGAAACAAACTTTGCTGACAAATAAAAAAGAAAATGGATGAAAAAGTCCTGTTAGTATATAGCCACATCATACATACAATAGCAGCCCACAGGCCACAACCGTATGGGCGAGACGACAGACCACGTGACTGGAGCATTTAACGTCCCATCCCTCCCTAACCCGGCTCTCGAGCCAAGGAACTTCATTTAAGGCAACCACCATTCGGATGCTCATCATGGACAATTGTTTTTGGTTTCGCCTGAGGAAAAGACAATCGGTAGCGCTTTTACAGTTCAGCCCGGCTTTTATCGTCATCCTTGACCTATAGAACACAAATATTTTCCCTCTGGGCATAAATGAGTAAAATAGTTTTACGAAATCGCTTTTCTGCAATATATTTTGTTGAAATGTCTTTACATTAATTAGCTCGATAACATAGAGCACATTACTGGCTCAACATCAAACGAGTGTCATGTAGCAAATCCCTCATGGACGAATATATTGTGTTACTGTGGGGCAGGCCGCCGTCCTGCGCCGCCCTGTCCCTCTGTCCAGCGCGGCGGCGCGCCTTTCGACCACCCCGGCCGCCTATCGACCACCGGCCGATGACTCACTGGTCGCGCCGCCCCACGTTCACCAAATGAACGGCCCCGCCGCGCCGACCGCGCGCCGCAGAGAGGTGGGACGGCCGCTCAATACGACTTCCGGCCTCGCTGACCACGGGCATACCTGCGACCACGTCACCAGCTGGCATCTCGACCGCGTGGGATATTCGTGACTAACTATTCGGCAAGATGCTGATTGCTCAATACTCATTGCAGAATATCCACTATGCGAAGTTCTCGTTATGCGAACAAGGTTTACGTATTCGGTGAATGTAAATCGTAGTTTGTTTGCTGCCATAAAATGTGAAATAGCTCGGACCAGACCGGCTATTCGTTTCAATATAAGCGGTTTTACGGCCCACGCAAGAGCCAATTCGCATACTGCCCAGTGCCCAGATGCCGGATTAAATCGGTCGAAGATCTAAAATTCATTCCCAGACTAAACCATAGTTTTAGAAAGCGAAAACGGCGTCGTACACAGTAAATGCTGATTGCGGTTGCAAAGAAAGATGGGTGTTTACAAAGTGACCGACATAGCTGATTGAAAGGGATATTTTAGCCTGATCGCTTCCATCATAATTTCATTAGATCCCTCTAAATCCGATAAGGTTCTATTCTATTGGACGTCCCAAATAACGCAGGTTTCCAATGTGTGTGGGAAAGCATACGCTGTTGTGTCAAATCACACACTTTGCAGCCAAAACAAAGACTCACCGGGCACAGTAATTTAGTTGTTTTCACCCTAAGGCTTCTATCGTGACGAATCCATTCACTATACTCGCGCATTAGGGAAGTTCCCCTGGGCTGTCAGGACGCGTAGCCGGGGGAGACCAGGTGAGCCAGGCGGTCAAATCACCACCTTCCCTGTTCACGTAATGTCAAAAGGGCGTGACTGGAAGGGTGGTTAAATGGCCGTTTCAGTTTGACGGTGATGGCCCTCATCCACCATCATCAAACCCGAGTCCCGAACTCTGCCAACAAACACCGCACCATCGTTCCGTTCACAGGGGCTGCCTACCAAGATACCAATGAAGTATAAACCCTCTGTCAAGGCCATCTATAGACTCTCTGCCTACCTTGCGCGCGGATGACCAGTCGATAGTTGCGGATCGTCTCGTAGTCGAGCTGGCCGACCACGGAGACGTGTCCCGTCTCCGTGTCGATGGTGAAGTGACCCTGGGTGTTGCCGCCGATTAGCGCGTACCGAATGCGGGCGTTCTCGCCGGCATCGCCGTCCGTGGCGCTGAAACAAAGACGGCCGTGGGTCAGTCCACTGTTCAGCGTATAGGCTTAGTTCAGGTTATAGGGTCAGTCCAGGGTATGGGAGCAGCCAAAGGCCCTAGGACGGTCAGTCCGGTGTAATGGGGTCACGAGCGGCGGTGAGATCGTTTTGACGAGCGACGGTGTTTCCAACGGACGAGCCAGACGTCTCATCAGAAAACGAAATCGGGTGAACGCCCTATCGATTGCGTGTTATTCCTTCTGATTGCTTTGTTCGAATAGAAAGTGACGCAGGTGTTTACAATTCAGGCGGATCTGAGACGATACGCTAGCGTGAGGCTATTCAAAGATGCAATCCCTCTCACTTCCTTTTACACCACGAAACATGCTGTTCTTAGCTGATACCGTTTCGGAGAAGCCCGCCTTCATGGATGCTTCATGCTACATCGATTCGTTTGATCTCACGGGTCTGGCCGTAATTGATATGCACAAATCAAAAGCCTTGAATAGAATGAATATGCATCCATAAACCGAGAATAAATGGTGGCTGCTTCCCAAATACTAATATCCATTCAAATGCCATAAGTCGGTGATTTTAGAAGCATATCAGACCACCCGATACATGAGGCGACAATCCTCGGTTTATGCACTGCAGTCGACATCCCGTTGCATAGCGCACAGACACTGCATTATCGAGCTCGCACCTGATCCTGGCGATGATGGGACTCTGCGTCCAGTCCTTGTCCTCCGGCACGCTGACCGAGTACGACTTCTCGCTGAACTGCGGGTAGTTGTCGTTGTCGTCCAGTACCCGGATGGTGACCTGGGCGGTCGCAGACTGTCGCTCGGCCGGCGGGGCCCGGTCGGTAGCCTGGACCTGAAGAGTGTATGACTCGTGCTCCTCACGATCCAACGGCAGACGAGTCTTGATGATGCCCGTGCGTGAGTCGATCCGGAATGCCTCGTTGGCGCCCTGAGGATTTAGGATGGAATAGGCCATCTCGGCGTTCGCTCCCATGTCACTGTCGGTGGCTCGCACTGTCAGGACCGTGGAGCCTATACTTGTGGACTCACGGGCGCTCGCCTCGTACTCCTTGTGTTCGAACTCGGGAGCATGGTCGTTGGCGTCTTCGACAGTGACCTGAAGGGTCGTAGTGCCGGTTCGCGGCGGCTGCGCGCTGTCCGACACCGTCACTTTGAAGTAGTGGGTGGACATGTACTCGCGGTCGAGCTCAATGCTGGTCGTAACCACGCCCGAGTTGGGGTCCAGGTCGAACATGGTCTGCGAGCGCGAGTCGAGAACAGCCACCATGGAGTAGGTAAGCGGCCCGTCCTCCGGGTCTTTGGCGGTCAGTGTGGTGACCACGTGGCCGCGAGCGCGTCCCTCCGGCACAGTAACCACGTACGAGGGACGGTCGAAGAACGGGCTCTGGTTGGCCATCTCGCGTCGGATTCGTTTGAGCATGTCGTCACGCTCAGCAATGTAGTGGTGGAAGAGTATCATCAGGGCGTGGTCGTGCGACTCGTGACCGGCCGCGTCACACTCGAGGCGGAAGTACACCACCACACGCCACAGTCGCTCGCTCACGCACTGGTCGCGCGCCGAGACCAGGTCGTGACCTGTGCGCTCCACGGCTAGACGCGGGTCGGACACGCGCTGGTAACTCAGGTCGCAGTCGTGAGCCGAGGCCGGCAGCAGGTCGCGGAACTTTACCACAAACTGGCCGCGCCGCAGACAGATCTTGTTGTCCGTGCTGGTGACTGGAAGGGCCACGGACACGGCGCTGCGGGAGCCGTGCTGGAGGACCTGGTCGGCCACTATGCGGCGGCTGTCCCCACATTCCGTGCCCACCACAAACACTCGCACCGCCAGCGACACGTAGTCGACGTGGTGCTCCACATCGGTCCACGACTCGATGTAGAGGAGGAACGGGTTTGGGTAGAAGAGACCGTCACAGCGCAGCGGACGTAGCACCACCAGTCGGCCGGAGCGTGGCTTCACCGACACGACACTCTGCACGAACGCCGGCGAGCGCTTCCGATCCAGACGGTAGTGCCTGGAGCCGCTGATTCCGGCGTCGAAGATGGTCGCACCAACTGGAGTGGTGCTTGGCACCACCACTAGATATCCATACACCAGCGAGCATGCCTGCAGGAGCAGGCCCAGCGCCAGTGAGGTCCGCATCAGGCCCGGGGGACCGCACCCGGCCCAGGCTCCGACACTCACGGCACTCACACCCCACCTCCGCCTCTCGCGGCCGCCGCCGACTGACTGGAATCGCCGCCGGAGGCGGTCGCCGCGGCGGCGGTTCACCTTGGCGTGCCGCCTCCCCGGCGCACCGTCGCTCGGTCGGCGGCACACAGGTGAGCTGCGGCGCGGGGTACTCGGGCGGCCATCGCACTCGTCTCGGTAATTGGTCGCCGCTCTGCGGGACGCCGCCGGTGCCGGGACCCGCCCGCCGCTCTCCCTCCCTGCCGTCCTAACGGCTGCTCATGTCCCGCAGTCGCCAGTGGGCCGGCACTGGAATGCAATTACGAGTTCAGGCTCAGCCAGGCCCAGTCGTCTGCAATTAGTCGCACGCTGGGAACAACTCAATGAAACCACTCCAGAAAGTCCTTGGTTTCATTGATCCATATTGGTGAGACAGGTCAATGAAACCACTCCAGAAAGTCATTGGTTTTATTGGTCCATATCATTGGTGAATTAGTAGGTATTTGGCTCTATGGATCGTCAGGGGCGAATAGCAGGTTCAGTGTGTCTCTTAGCAGCTATCAGCTAGGGTTGCACTAATTGCTTATATGCCTGCTTTGTCATATTATCAGAGAGCATCATCGATTAAAACACTGAAATAAATTCATAAAATGACGATATTTGCTGTAAAAGAAATTAGGCAAAGATTTGGTCAAATCAGGTGCATTCGCTGGACAGCCCGTCGTGAAAACGGCTATTATCATCCTTTACCCTGCAACATACCTACATAAATTGGAGCCTGGAGGCAAGACTGTGGAGTTGGCGTCAGAGTCGGAGCATGAGTCGGTTGGTTGCAACAATTCTGCCCGAAGTCGGGGTCAGAGCTGATTTTTGGAAGCTTGAGTCAGAGTCGGAGTCGGGGTAGCCGAAAATCCATCGACTTCGCAGCCCTTCCTGGAGGTCGTATCAAAACTTACAAAAATATCAACGTTTTACACATTGGTGAACTTAAATTACGCTGGATAAGCTGTTTAGAGTTCATGACATTCACGGTACGATTCAACGGATAACAGCCCAATCTCGCAAACGGTCTTCCCAGTGCACGCGCGACCTGCCAGGAGGCATTCTCATTACTCACGTCGGATGAAATTGAAGGTGGTCTTCCAGCCCGGATTCAGGATGTTCGAGATGGAAGGATTTCTGCGTCCTGAGGATAGATCAGAGGAAACGAAGGTCAAATTCACATGGTTTTACGTTTTCGTTCGATGTTATGATGTTGATTTTATTAGGCACTGATTTCATTCGGCTCTCTGCTCATTATTTTTCGCACGAGCCACGACCTGACCGCAACCTGGAGAGGGAAAACATAAGCCCTCAAATTGGAGATGCTTCCACGATTATGCGAGTCATGACTCTTGCTTATAGAAGCACGGCAGACCCGAGATTCAGTTCCATGTAGCACATTCCACATGATACACAGATACCTGCCTTTTGAATTTAAATTTATTGGTAAAATACGTTGTCCTGCCGTTTACATATACCTACCGTTTACCTATAGGCCTACTCTACTGATGTCGCACTCTGGATGCCAATTGATTAACTTTGTTGTCATTTTGAAAACGGGCCTGAACAAACAAGTTTACTCTTTTTTTCTATGTTGCCACTTTTAGATTAAATCGTTGTTCACATTGGGATAGTCTGACTCGGACGACCTGCCTGTCGCCGTGACAGCGTCACCGACCCTGCCATATTCTTCCACCTGGCGGTCAGGTATGTGGTTGTTAGTTCGGCGACCGGGCGCAGGTGGCGCACTACGGGGAAAGCGACATCGCTGCGCCTTCGCCGCGGCGACAGTCGATTTCATCACCCTAAATGCACAGGAATTCCACTCCGTTTCGTCACAAGATGCACAACCGCAAGTCTAACGGTACACAATTGATCCTCCTCTGAGATGATCGGGTCAGGCAACAATCCTACTCCCACGTCATATAAAAAAGACGGTGATCGGCGAAGTTTCTTCGTCGATTTTATCCTCGAAACCATTTCACCCTTGTTCCTGACCATTTAATGCGTGCTTCTACCTAGCCGAGGTTGATTTGTAATGCGAACGAAACAGTGTAACGAAAATTTACCAGGGGTGCTATCCCTTCCCCTGCTGGTACCTTTGTGTGAACAAATTAATTGCAGTTACCATTCAAAGGCACGCTGTAAAGGTAGAAAAACCATACCATTGCCTGCTGAGATATTGCAGGGAACTGATTTAAGAAAGCCTCTCACGGCAAGGTGGTAAGTCACGTCACATATCAACTTATAAAACGAAGTACTCTCCCCCGGAATTGTATTCTTCCAAGAAAGTAATACACATGATATGTCGGTCCATTTCGTTCCCCTCCCCATTTACACATGGTAGCTAGCCCGAGCACATGACGATGAACTGGAAGCATGCGACGCACATTGAGCATAAATATAATAATAAATAGGAAACGCAATTTGCCAGCACTCACTCGCTCGCACAGTTCACTCGCTCACTCGCACACACAAAGGCGTAAAGCGGGCCGACCAGTGCCGACGGTAGTTCAGTTCCATCATGCTAAAACATGCGGACATTGAAAGGTGTACAACTCTTTCACTTAAACTACAATGCCAGCAATAATGTTAATACCACATTATCACAAAAGCAGCAAATAAGCAGTTACGGCACATCATGATCTGCAACTAATCTAGCGATAATAAATTACTACTGCTGCTGAGGACGCGTGCTCACACTACCAGCTGGCGCCATTATGGCAGCGACGGCGCGCTCCCCTCTCAGAGAACGCGCCGACCGCGGGGCCAGCTCGGGCCGCTACTCTCGGACGCCGATACCGAACAATGAACCGTTTTGATTTGTGCTCTGCGACAGAGCGCCCCGACGCGCCGGGCGGCGGGGCCGGGCCCGACCGCTCGTGACGCGAGATCACGGCACACGCAGCGGCCCGTTTGAGCACTGGGAATGGCACTAGAGTGGGACGCGAGTCGCCGGCGCTGCGCGGCGCCGGAGCAGCACCCAGGAGTCGCTGCGTCCACCCGTAATTCACAGTCCGGCGTGACCGGTACCCGGCACGGGTCGCCCTCAGACAGGAGACGGACGCACTCCGCCCTCCCGTCGGCCGGGTAAGTCACAGAAAAGTCTATCCCCAGGGACCGGTGAGAGCCCACCGACCCCACAGAGCAGTCATCAGTGCTGGTCGCTCCAGAACTTTTTGATGAGGTCGGAGGCCTTCTCTCCGATCATAATGGTGGGGGCGTTGGTGTTTCCGTTGACCAGCTGCGGCATGATGGAGGCGTCCACCACTCGCAGCCCGGACACGCCGTATACCCTGGGAGAGGCAGAGGGCAGAGTTAGTGTCAGTCAAAGATCAATAGTCAGAGTACTGACCTGGGATCTTACTAATGGCAGAGTCGTTGATTTAACGATCGTTCATCTCATTGATGAACGAAGGTGAGGGTTACTGATCAAGGACCTTACTGGATTTACGGACTGAGAATAGTACAGAAAACGGGAAGAATCCCTACACGGTTGCGGAATGAAGAAATATTTCACCGTTTGACGAGTAATGAAGTTATATTACGTCCATTATCCGTAACCAGACATAACAAGTGCACTTAACACACACAAATGTGAAGCGGCAGGCCGACAACCTCAGAGAAGAAAAGAAATAGTGATACCTTCAAACATCTTTTTAACGGGGCCGTCGAAATTAAGCCTCGCCCGGTAAGGTATTTATAAAACGGGGCACCCTCGCTCCTGCGAGCACATTGCACTGAACCAAGTTGCCGTCAGCTCTGTCTCACCTGAGCTCTGGGTCGACCACGGCCTCTGGGTCCCAGTAGGGCCCCATTTTGGCCGTGCCCACCGGATGGTAGATGGTGCTGGTGTAGTAGCGAGCCAGACACTCCCAGTACTCGTCGGTCCACAGAGCCGTGTGGATGCAGCCCGGCATCGGCACCTTGTAGAACTCGGCGCCTAACCGCTTGAACGCCTGCGTCTCGCCGATGGCCACGGCAATCTTGATACCTGGGTGGGTGGCGGAGGGGTAGGAGGGAGGGGGTTCGTTAGACTGACGTACCTATTGTAGTGTCGGGCAGTGAACTCAAACATAAATGTTCTTTCTCGTTAGCTATCATGAACGTAAAAGAAATGTTACATGACGAGAGTTTCATTACTCTGTAATGTAAGGCGACCTTAGACAGAGTAACAGCTAAATATCGACACATAATGTTAGTAGAAGCGGTAAGCGCATTTTAGGACAGAACCGTTCCAAAGCATTGGAGCTTATTTTTAGTTGCATTACGGCTTCTATGAATGCCGTCTAGATTTGCGTAGTTTAGGTACTTAAATTATGTAGAAGAGTTTTCGTACATTTCTTTAGCATAAAAATTCATAAAGTTCAAAACTAATTTTGCTACAGCTAAGGACATTGGAGACCACAGCTTAGTCTGATTGGTCGACATGACATGAGCTTGTTGCCAATTGGAAATTTAGACAGATAACTCTTCTACATAGCGAGCGACATTATGATGTTATTAAGCAAAATATTAGTCGGTATATGTAATGATTAGTGAAGCTGAGCATATTAGTTGTAAGTATTTAATAATTGCGTGACATAATAAGATTCCAACACGGACCATTATTCCTCCGACAAAACTTTTGAAAATGAATAACAAACGGTATTCTCCTAATACAAAATAAAGTAAAAAATGGCTTGGGAAACATAACCAGACATATATTAGTGGTTCAGTATCTACATGATGGAAGGCATAACATGCTTCATCTATTAGAACGCATCAACAGATCTGAGAGAACATAACAGAGCTAAAAGGGTGCCCTCACAAACAGATAAGAAACAATAAACAACGCTGCTTCGTAGGACTGGTGCATAAAGGAAACGCCTCACCCTCCTATTCGGGAAATAAGTTCTAGCAGCAATTATTGACCTCGGAAAAAAACAAGGAAGCACAGCTATCTCACCAGAAAACGATGAAATCTTTATTATTCATTACCCAACTTACTGAATATCAGAATCGCGATTTGCAATTTAACTTGACTGCTTTTAATCCTATTTCCCTCGAAGAAGGTGGGACGTTTCTTTTCAACAGCAGTACTTAGCAGCCCTAGAGCTCCCGGGGGCTGTCTATCCTCGTACCTTCGACCATGGTTTTAACGTCAATGTCCTCAGTCAGGTAGTTGGGGATGAGTAGCGGCGGCTCGAACGGGTTGGACGAGCGCAGCTGCACGACGCCCTTGGAGGCCGGCCGCAGCAGCATCGGCACAATGGTCACCGAGTCGCGGAACAGGATGGGCTTGAACATCTGCCACGTCTACAGGCCGCCCAGAGCAACCGCGCAGAAAGAGAGAAAGAGAGAAAGAGAGAAATGGTCAGCCATGAACAGTGTCCGAGGTCAACGCGGAGGAGGGAGGCAAGCTGAGAATAAAAAGAGAATCAGTAAGCGATAGCGGGAGAGCTAGACGTTTGCCTGAAAAGAGGGCGTCAGAATAAAAGCAATTATCTAAGGTTAGGAAAAGGCAGATTAGGAAAAGGAGAAGGTATTAGGTTAATTGGGTGTTCGAGACGATTCTTATTGGGTTCAAATTATAAAAAATTTCTGCACCTAAAAATAGAACGTCAAATGGTCAGGACACGTCGTCGTTTACTGGAAGTAGAGAAGCGTGAGTGATTAGCTATAACAGCTCCTTTTCGTCGCCTAGCGCCGGTAGATGGCGCATTGGGAACCGTCACTTGCTATTTGTCCGGTCAGTGACGAGCCCCTGGAAAAGTCAACATCATTCGAACTCGAAACGACGTGCCAGCTTTAGAGTTAACGCTCATTGCATAATGCATATAGGCTGTAGTCTACAATCTAGAGCCAGCCACCGTAGAATGTGTGATGTGTTGTGCGACTAACACTATTATGTTGGGATGCATCGACATTCGACAGGCAGGTCTCAACCGATTCCGGTTGCGAGAGCACAGTCCGGATTTTAAAGCAGCTTCATGCAACGGGCATCATCAGAGAGAATTCAGCTAGATTCGGGCAGCTATTGAAATCGATGCAAGATACGAAAAAACCACCGGTAGAGGTCATATCTGCCATCTGCTGAGCCGAATCGGTGCACGGTGGGATGACAGGGGCTGACAACCTTCCACCAGAGTGCGAACGTCGTGCGGGTCCTGCAACGCGTTGGTGACGATGCGTGGCTTGTCGAAAGGCCGTGCCGAGCGCAGGCTGACGCGACCACGACTGCGAGGCCGCAGCAGGCACAGCAGAATCGAGAACCCGTCCCGAAACGACAGCGGTGCAAAGAAGCCGCGCCAGGCCTGCAGGAGACGCGCGGCGGACCGGCGGCCGGGACACGTCACTACGGCGCTACCGGGCCGAAACGGAGTGGAGGGTGGACACGGACAAGGACGGAGGGGGTCATAAATGGGGACAGAGAGGGAGAGAAGATCGTAAAGGGGAAGAGGCGATCAGAAGCGGGGAGAAGAGTTCATAAACAGGAGGTGATCATAAATGGTGAGAACTAACCACAGACGGTAGCCAGTAGTCATAAACGGAAAGAGGCCTATTTTACCTCAATTACACTAATGACAAGATTCAGTTGCAAACAGAGCAAACATCACATTGGCTCATACATACGAAATACGGAGAAAATGCATTGGCAAATGAGCAATGTAAAAGCAAGATAGATTGTACTGAATCATACGGTCGTACCATCCATTTAGTACGTGCTCTCAAACATCAAAGAGCAGCAAATGAGCTTAGTAAGAACAGAATGGTGAATGACGTACGCATGCATTCAAGACCGGTCTAAATGATCTATGGACCACATACTCGTACGATGCCTAACATTGACATCAATTATAACGGCTATACTCGCAAGCTAAGCATTCAGAAGTACACACCGTGACATCGTACACACACCGGACGTATCTTAATTTGCATTAATAAGAAAGTTCTGGCAATTTTTAGTTCGTAAATTGTTGAAACAGGGGTTTTACGGTGCTAGATGATAATGAAGTAAAATATCAAACTTTGCTATACCATTTTCCGAAATGTCAACGATCGTCAACAGTAAACATTTTCTTGCGTTTATGTATAAGTTGAAAGATTCTCTTGCTCTCCATGATAACTGCGAGTTATAAATCAATGTTGGCAAATGAGATGATCGATGTAGGTAGGCATTGCTCATAATGTTATTGAGCCATTCAAGACTGATGGGTTGGAATTCCAAGTGTAAAGGCGCGTGTTCGTGCGTACGGATGTGTGTATCTGTTCAGCTCACCTCCTCAGAGAGACCCTGGATTTTCCTGATCTGCCTGCCGCCGTCGGAGGCCGGCGTTCCACTGACGTAGTGGAACTCTACGTCCGGCCAGTCCTGCGACTGGTTGGCGTACTTTGTCTTCACGAAGCCAAGGCCCTCCACGCCGCCGAGCACCGTCAGCGGTCCTGAGAAAATGGGAAACTATGATAAAGCGGTAGAAGCGAGCATCGCTCTGAAAATAAACCAACGAGGAGCCGTAGACTTGCGTTCAAGTTTAATATAAAACACATTTGCTGGACGATGACAGCAAGCAATTAGATATTGACGCCGTCTAAATACGATTTAAATGACATCTCACCTGATCCGAACATGGCGTATTTCAGGATACTCGGGATGTTCTCGTATCGGGTCTGTACCAGCGATATGGGCTTGTTCAGCAAGAACACGATGCCGCCGGTTCCAATGTGGTCCTGGAGGTTGTAGCCGACCGGCAAGTCCTGGATCACGGGAATCTGCAAAACAGGCAGACGACACTGAGATGATGCTATCAGCTAACGGCAAAGCTACCCGCACTAGACTGCGTAGTGCGTAGCATGCCTCAGCAGTCGGTATTTGCTGTGCAGCTAACCGAGAAGTAATTAATCTGCATAATGTAAATTCCACCAAACCGCTAGGTAAGTTTTTAATTTATAATGATCGCTTGTGAAACAAGCTGCACTTGCCTATCTAGTTAATCCGTTAAACAAGTTTCCCTGTGGTAGTTATGTAAATTGCGTGCTCCTAGTGGGGGGCAATAACCGCCCTCTTTACTTCCCTTTCGTAAATCTTATCATTCCTTTTTTATGAGTGTCAAAATGCATCACCGTTACGATAACCCCAATCGTCAGAAACAGCCGTAGCATCTCGCTATCGCTAGCCGTGTTATGTGGAATACTCACGCCGTGCTCATACAGATGTGAGGCAGGTCCGATACCGGACAGCATGAGCAGCTGGGCAGAGTTGAGCGATCCCGCCGACAGGATCACCTCCTTCTTGGCGTAGATGTGATAGCGCTTCTTGTAGCGGACCAGCTCCACGCCGTAAGCCCGCTTGGTGTCAGGATCAATCAGCACCTGGTGTGACAGAAGGGAAAAACTCGTTTAAATGCCTGATACAAAGAGAATATTGGAAAGCACGGCTACCAGCTCAAGGCTAAGACAGCGAAGCCGATTACATAACTGCGAATGATACAGACTCGAAAGTGTCCAGCACTTATGAAAAACGGTAAAGGTCGGATGAGAAACCACCACACATGTAAGCATTGCGTCCGTGAGAGAAGACATTAGGACACCATCTCCCACAAATGACAGGGTAATAGATCTCATCAGCGACCTCTCCGGATAGCGGTTCGGACGACCACACGTGGCCACCGGTCAGAGCCACTAACGGGGGACGGGTTTCCAGACGCGGTCATTGCCACCGCCACGCGCCTCGCGGGCTGCAGCTTAACAGCTAGTCATCGCGCGCCGCCCGGGGCGGTCGGCTAAGTGCCGGTGACTGCGCGTGCCGACCTGGTGCGAGCTGATCAGACCGCGCTTAGTGGGCGCCACACTTTGACAGTCTGGGCCCTGCCGCTATTACGCTGCCTTGTATAAACAACGGCTAATGTCTGCATGCTACATTTACTCCACAATGTAATAGCTTAGTGGCTCATATCGCAGTGTTGTTACATTCACATGTATGAATAATGAGCGTGTTTGGCACGAGGAAAACAGCGTGTAAATAACCCGCGCATCGCGCCCAGCTAGATCTAAGGATTTATTGCCCCCTTGCTTGGAACGTCTCAATCTGTGTCCTACGAAGGTCGTCTTAATTACTGATGAATGATAAGCCCATTCACGCTCTCGCTGTGTTTGCGAAAGAAAGCATGAAGTGGACATTCTAAAAATTCAATTTTGGTTGAGAGACCCTAAGACAATCAAAGGTCACATTGCACACAACTAATGTAAAAACTTTACATTTAATTACATCACAAGTTTCACAAAACTGACCTTGGTCACATGCGAGTGCATGGCGGTGTGCAGGTTCTTGCGCAGCCGCACGGGGCGGATGAACGCTTTGGACGTGCTGCAGCGGGATCCTCGCCTGATGGTACCCTGCGGTATCATGAAACCTGCGGAAATAGTCCACAGTCAGATCTCAGATGTCACACCTCACAGCGCAGCCGTCAACCACCTGTCAACAGCAGCCACTCTGCCGACCGCGTCAGCCGTCAACATCAAATGCCCGTTATGATAGCTTTAGTAATGTGCCTTTATGAGCTCTTCTCAGTATCAATCTTATTCGACGTCTTATAGGTGAACGTCGCAGCTTATCCAATGCTGAACAAGTGGCAGTAATTAGCCCGAAAAAATGATGAATGAAAACCATTCCTATACACATATGCATGAGAACGGCTTTTTGACTTTTCAGATCGTGGGCATACACATTGAGAGTACGTGGTCGTACATTCACACGTCATCACACATGGCCATAAATCATACATTCACAGCAGTGGTTCAGCATTTCCGTCATCCGTCAAGCGCGACAGCCTTCGCCGCGAGCTTTCTATCACCATGCCCATGTGACACCAGTCCACACACGCTGCGGCTACTATCGCGATTTCTCGGTTCGCCTGGAGGGCTGCTCTGGGACATGAAACGAGGCCGTGCACTCGGACATGCCACTGTCCGAATCCTCAACCGCGTGTATTTGGATTAAACCCATGTTCCTACGCTCAAAGGGGCTGGCCTACATAGCGCTGAATCGTTAGATGCATTTTAGCACAGCTGATTCATATGAACGATGTTTTACAAGCGACAATTGAAACAAATGACTCTTTTTTGGAGCATACGAGGATAACAAGCATAAAGATGTGGCATCTTTTTTGCTTCAACGTTTCTGTGTCGCATGGGCATGGTCCAGTACCAACGTTTCATAAGAAGAAAGGGGATTTATGACATTCAGTAATCCTTGCACTCTCGTAAAAGGCAAGATGCTGGAGATATACACGGTTCAGAGCCGTTCGTTCCATGAATGGAAAAGAAAAGACGATACAAAACTCAGACTAATCTGCAACATGTGAGAGTAGGGATAAAGCGGCTCTCGGATTTACAGTGACTTCCGACCCATTTTTGTTTTCTACATCCGTAAGTGTCGCTGCATTCTGTTACTCATGCAATTCTCTTTGGTTTACCAGCAGCGTCTGATTTATTTATCATAGCCTAAAAGCCAGTTGTTAGTCGGCCAGTAGAAACTGGGCAGCCCTAATCAGCAAATAATCAAACAGAGGCCTCTTGCACCAAACTACCTGCCTAGGTAAATTCAGATTTTACCTTGATTCTCTTGCACCAAACTACCTACCGAAAAACGCTACCGTGAAAATTTACCTAGAAATTCTACCAAGCGGCATAAGAACTTACCAATTGTTAAAGTCCGACCGGCTGTTTTCCTCTTGCACCGAAAGCCGGAAAGAAGTACTCGCGGAGGAATTTTGGACGGTTTGACGGTAAACGCGGGCTTCAAAAATAACTAGCAAAACCTTAGGTAAAATGATTCAATTAGTAACAATAGGCACAATACATGATAATCCACGGGTATTTTTATGTAAATTAGGCATTACAAAATGTTTAGACAATGATAAATCAATGTTTTATGAGTGAATAATAATATAATTGACCAAATACTCCACGGGTTCACAGAGGTGCTTCTCCGTACCAAGGCGATAACCCTCCGTAATAGAACAGCCAGGTTGAAGACTCACTCGTTGCCATGGAAACGAAGCTCATTTGTTCAAGTAATTTAATATCAAAATAATTTCTATTGGTATTTACGTAAATGAGAAATGATTTCATAATACCAAAATGTATATTAGTAAAAACAATATCCATTTAAATGTTTTCTTTACTTACTATTTGTTTGCGCCCACAAATAATTCGTCGCCAAACAGCCAATCAAAACAAATCCTAAAAACGCGAGCTGTCAAATTTACCTAGGTAGGTAGGTAGGATGGTGCAAGAGAAGTTACCGCCGTAGGTAGTTTTACTAGGTAGGTATTTTGCCGATTCTACCTAGGTAGGTATTTTGGTGCAAGAGGCTTCAGGTCTGAGGTCGCGTATCGATATTGCCAGAAAGTGAAAAGCCCCGACCGGTGCCCCATGAGGACCGGTCGCGGCTCGGGCGCGCCCGTTCCGTCTGTGCCGGCCCGCGCGGCGGTGCCCGGCCGGCGCGTGCCGCCGCTCTCGGCTGACGGTTTCTCCGCGGCCAGTGTCGCCGCCGACTGCCTGCTCGCCGTGTGCCCGCTGTCCAGTCGGCCAGTGGCGGCAGCAGATGGGCCGGCCCACACCGGGCCGCGTTGCGTCAGCCAGCGGCGCGCGGTGGAAAGCGGCGCTCCGCAGAGCGGAACTGGCCCCGCGCGAGCACGCTCCCTTCCCAGCGCGCAGACCACGCGCACAATACGGCACGCGGAACCTCCTCCAATTGGGCCGTACTCGCGGCCGTGCTCATTATTGACTTTCGGCGAAAATTATCGGAACGATCGATACCAATTTCACATGGTCAGGCGAGGGTTACGACACGTCGATGAAAAATAGGGTATGGCGATCTCTTTTCCGATCGAGTCATGCGCATGGCTTGAAGTGATTTGCTTTTTCTGATTGGTCTTGCCATGCCCTTCAATATCGCTTAGCAGGCTGCGCTTCTATAGCTTTCGATCTCACTCACACGCTCAAGGGTAGGTAACTGCCGTGACTCAAGATTGACCTCATTTCGCATACTTTTCGAGCTCAGAGCTGATTCACGATTTGTCTTTTAGTCCCTTCGTCATTTAATTTTACGTAATACAGGTTGACTCATATGTGTTGGCGGCTAACGGAATGAATATTGCCTGCGTGATCAAGCGAATTATTATTGGATAACGACTTGAAATTCGTGACTCCACGATTTAATTTAGTGGGATATCTGCCAAAAATAAACGTTTGAAGCACAATAACACTGACTACAGGGAATCTAAATTTAGCAGTTACCTGGCATGTCTGTACAAACTTCAAGGCCATTACTGTGAACCACACACAAGTAGGTATTTGTCAACCGTTTGGCATGATGGTTGAGCCTACTTATCACCACGTCTTGATTTCACATCTGACATCTCGTGAAAGGGTGAACGTTAGGGTAACACCGGTGAAAATGAAAGTATTTTTCCAGAGATTTGGAGATGTCTGAGGGACAGGCCCCTTTGATGGACAGCTGCTCGGATCTGAAGCGGTCGCAATAATGTCGTCTGTTGGCCGATCGGAGGGCGCTCTTATGGTCATGCACCTGTCACTCCAGTGCGGCTTGTTTTCGGGGAGAGGATAATGGCGCGGGAGTAATTCTCGGGGCGTCGGCCGGTGACCTCTTTCGGCCGGTGACGGGTCGGTTCTCACGGCACTGGAAGGACGGTGTGGGGCTGATGGGCGGTGAGAGGGCACGCACAGAGACGGCCAAGGACGGTCGCGGCCACTGATCCCTCGGCCGGGTACACAGGTGGGCGGGAGGCAATCACAAGGCCACCGGATAGAGAGCGGAGGGCCTGGGAATACCCGAGGGCTGGGCCTCTCTAGACGGTAAACAGCCTTTCCAAATAATGATCTCCAAATGAGGCGTCATCTGGTTTGAGCCGAAATTTCACTACGGTCAATACTGACTTTCATGCGAGGCGGGTGTATGAATGACGGAAAATATCGGCATTACGCCGGTGTTTCCGCTTTACCGACAAAGACGAGGCAACGCCTTAATTGGGGAAGTGGATTTAAAACTAAGACCATACATCAAATATTTTTAGTGTCTATTTAACATATTTCCTAGCTTGCATTTAACCTTACATAAAAACGTCAGTCATTTAGTGGAGCTGCACCTTGCATTTCTAACGAGAAAATGGGACGCGCTACAAGGAATTTACATAAGAAATCTGCATTCCACCGGTTTGCTTGTTACATTGCTATGCAGCATCGCAGTCTTCCAATCCCTCCCGTGCGGTGCGCGACAGTGCCTCTTGCACTGCACGATACTGTATATAGTGTGTCACTGTATACCGTATGTATATTGTATACTCGCCAACGATATGCAATGGGTTTGCAATGATAGCATCCGTAACCCATGTTGCACTGAATGGGACCGACAGTGAAAGTCGCTTGTCAATCCGTAGGGTGGTTGCAAAATTATTAGCGTGCAAAATGCGTCCGCACGACTGGGTCTGGTTGTCGATCATACTCGGGGTTTCCGATATATCGGGGCGAACTTACTTCGGGGTCGCTCGTAATAACACAACTTCTCAGATTCAACAAACTACCCGGCTCGATAGTTGGCGCTCAGGGATATGGACAGCCTCAGGGGATATTTATCGATTATGTACCCATCAGCCACGGAAGCTTTGAAATACGTGCCAGACGGCACAAAGCCACTATTCCACCTGCCCTTAGGTTCTCAAAGATGCCTGACAACAGCTGAAGACGCGACTGATCGAAACTGTCCTACATAACATCACACACGCCGTGGACGGCCGACACCACCGACAATGACTAAACCAGGACAGTAATTAGGCAATTACCAGTCCACTGTCAGCTGCTGTTGCGTCACCCAGGCCACGACATACCTGTCTGCTGCTGGGCGTTGAAGTCGATGTTTTCGTAGCCCATCTCGACGCCGGCAGACACGAAGGCGGTGGCCAGTGGTGTGCGCCAGGGCGCCTCCTGGACGGTCAGGTAGCCGCCCGTAGAGTGGAACCGCTCTGTAAGACACGAGAGGAGATTAGATGTGTTGGGGCACCAGCGCTGATAGCACCGCGGCAGGTGCAGACAATTTACAATCAGTACGTCGTGGTATATGGACCAGTTTTCCATGGCATTGCCGCATAAGTGTTGCGATAGGTTGCTAATCGCTATTCCTAATCGCGGATGCTTAAGACGGGCGTGACCCCCGGCAAAACATTTTGCGTATTTAGGCGTTGTAATCATCACTTAAAACGGCTAGTCAAACATAGCTGTACCATCACTTCGCGAACAATCGAGTTTCTTACTGTTTTGCGCGATGTAGGGGTTTCTGTTGTCCTCGGACTTTTTGAAGTAGTGCAGGACGGTCTCGAAGTCCCAGCCGTAGTTGCCGTTCTCGTGCCAGCGCTCGTAGTCGAGTCGGTTACCCCTCACGTACAGCATGTAGTTGAGTACAGAGGAGCCGCCCATCACTTTCCCTCTTGGCCAGTTGCAGCGCTGCAACACGGGGTTAGTTGCATCAAGCTCAAGGGTCGCACCTGGCATAGGCAAATGAAGCATTCATAAATAAACAGCGAATACACCCGGGCAAGGTGAGGGGTGAGCTTTCACTCCAGTTCTGCTGTATGCTTATAACATTTTGCTCGGTGAAACTGATGCCTCAGATTGAGTCTCGATGTCAGAGGTCAAATACCGACTTCAACCGTGCCATGGCAAAGGGCTTGGAGCACACTGTCGGCTGTAGCGCGTCCGAATGATTTGTACCTGCATGCGATCTAAAATAAGGCCAGCTTTGTATGTTCCTCATAGTCAATGCTCATAACTAGTCAGTGAGAGGAATCGAAATCTTTTCAACTTAGTTCATGAATGAAAATGATTGAAAGTACAGAAGTTGAATATATCTCAGGAAAAGAAATTTCTAAGCGGCTGAAGCCACTTATGATTTCGTTTGCGATATACTTGAAGCAAAAGGTTAAAACAAATTTCCACAGCGAATGCGCTATTCATGAGCAGTTATCTAATGAATGAATAATGCACGCGCTGTTGTGTCGTGCCAAAAGGCATGTCCAGTGGATGCGTGGACGTCGACGGTTGCGTTTGAGAATGCGCAACGCTTACACTGGCCTGCCTACGAAATGAGAGAGCGCACCCTACGGCGGGCTGGCCCCGTGCGGAGATGTTGATCTGACCCATCGGCGGCCTCGCTCCCGACACGCCTGTGACCCTTTTTGCGGGCGCTATCGGGTATCTGTCAGGACGGGGGGCTGCTGGGCCCGGCGAGCGACCGGCCCGGCCGCGGGCAGGCATCACATGGCGCACTTTCACACGCAGCCGGGCCGGCGGCGCGGTGCCGCCTGGCATCCTGCCGACCGACCCACTTGTGACGCTGGAGCTGATACCGGCCCGACCTGGCCAGCGGTAGGTACCGGTCTTCCGCTGGCGTCCGGTCAGACCGGAGCCGCCCGGTCGAGGCCGAGACCGCTCCATCCGGAGAGTTAACCAATACAGGCATGGCTGGCCGTGCCGACATGTCAAAATTCAATTAATTACGAGCGGCACGAAGCGCGAAACGAGTTCTCTCCCTGATGCACCGAAGAAATCTGAGCTGCATGAGTGAACCTGCTTGACCGCAGCGAGGCCCTTTCCACGTTGCTTACTTTCTACACACGTCAGTTATCGACAAGCGATCTTCACTGACCGGTTATAGATGATCCCAGCCTCCAGTCAACGATGTATCACACACAACTGAAGCTGAAATACTACAGCGTAGACAAACACTTCATTATTCTTGTTACTTAACGATGACGTCAAATTGTGTCTTAATTAGCCTTTCGATTTTTAAGTGGGTTCTACTCATTTGCTGCCACCCACGATCGTCACTCACGTGTCCGATGTAGGCCAGGCAGGCAGTGGGCTGCGGCTCCGTCTTGTACTGCCAGTCGAGTTTGCTGAGCTGCAGGTAGCCGGCCAGCGCCGGCACGTCCGACACCTCTGTCTCGTCACCGCCGGCCTCCAGCAGGAGCACAGAGTGCGCCGGGTTCTCTGTCAACCGGTTGGCCAGCACGGCCCCCGCCGACCCGGCGCCCACTGCAACGGGAGGGGGCAGGTTAGAGGAGGCATCAGGGAGTGGCGAGACAGGAGGCCTGTTAGGATCGACCAAGACAGAGCCACCGGAAACACAGTGGGATCGTAAGCATGTCAGAGGATCCAGCAGGTCACAGTCACACAGTTGACACAACAGATGGTCCATGTCAGGATACGGCCAGGCAAGGGGAAGGGGGTAATACACCAGATGACCGGCAGAACCAGCGAGACAGCAAATACCTACGTCAGAGAGCCGATAGAACACGACCGAGACAGCACAGACGTCCGAGAAAAACATCGGATACAGCGGACATCAGAACACACAAACTTCAGCGGGCACATCATCGGAGGACTCGCTGGAAAACACCGGGGTCCGCAGCAGTCACCGGTTACATCAAAGAAGCCATAAAGAAGACAGCGAACATTGTCATCGCGTTGCCTGAAGGTAACAATAGGACAAAACAGCGATTAGCCTGGATTATCTTCTTTCGCCATCGGTTTCACGTCATCCAGCAGCCCGGCCTTACACTGCGTGTTGCAGTCCTATGTGGTGATGATTAGCATGTTTCATATTGGTGTCTTGGCTGGTAGACATGCGTCTCGGCTCAGCGCTGGAGGCTCAAACGTCGGCTTTGAGTTAAGTGAGCCGGCCAACTTTCCCAGTGTTCTCGAGCTATTGTCCCCGGCTTTATGTCCTATTCTTCCATGCTAACGACCGGGTCGCCATCCAGGCAGAAGCACATGAATGTCACAACGTACTGTCTTATCTGATAGCATTACTCACCGGTTGTTTAGAAGGCGGAGATTGGTGTCGATCTAGAGTAAGCGCTCGAATGTTTGTGTCTACTCGTATGTAGCCAACCAGGGCGCTGATCGTGGTGACTACTTGCTTCATTTGGTGAAGCTAGAGGCTCAAGAGAATCGCACAAACGGTTAGAAGATGCGTCAAATCCCGATAGGTGCGAGACATGAATGCATGTTTGGTGACGATGGCAGCGGTCTTGCTTCACTCCTTCAATGACACACCATTCAAGGAGACGGTCGGACCCCCGGATGTGGATGACCGAGTGAGAGGAGGGCAGGGCAGCCGTGTCCGGTGTCGGTGTGGTTAATGACGGATCCATCCGACCTCGCTCTGACGATGTTGGGCCACACGGCGGTGACTGTGTCTGATCCGCCGGTGACTAAGCCCTGTGGTGACAGGTCCGTCTCACGGCGACAGGTTCGGCGGCGAGCGATCCGGAGGTAAGTGATCCCACCTTGTCTGCTCCGTCGCGCCGATTTGATCCCGTGGTGACTGACCCATCGCGCAGCGCCGGCCCGGCAGCGGAAACGGCGCCGATCCGGCAGGGCGACAACGATGCGCCCGTGTCACCACACCGGTCACACCAGTCGACCGGCCGGGGAATGGGGTCAGCCGCGCGGCCGCGCCGTCCCGCCCGAGACCGGCGCGGCGGTGGGCCTTCTCACTCACCACCGCTAATCTCCCGTCCACGTGAGACGGGCTGCGAGAAGGATTATTTTTGCAATTTGCATCCTGGGTGCATCGCACTCGACACGCTGCGTTGCGCAGATGGGACATGAGGTTACCGGAAAGGTCACCTTGGATTTTGATATCCCTCAGACTTCAGAGGTATCCTCTGAAATCGCGAGTCACGTTTCTGCAGCACGTGGCAACTGCCGGCAGCAGGTCTTCGGGGGTCGGTTGGTGGCTGGTCGGTCTTGTCTCCGCCTCATGGCCCATGGGTGCATTATAAAACACTCGAAAGTCCGTTTGCAACGATAATCCTTAAATATGCCATAATCGTCTTCAAAGTTTCACACAGGACATCCTGCTCAAGTGCTAATGTTCTTCACTTAAGTGTAATCAGACAAATCACAAGAACATTAGCAGGCTTCCCATCAACACAAGACGTTTAACTATCCTGACGAATGTAGGTAAATGCTGAAGAGAAGAAAGTCCGCTGTTGCACTGATCCCATGGCAGCACTTTGCAAGTAGGTAAGTCCCGTCTTACTGCAGCCAAAACGACAGGCTTAAGCCCGACGACTGGAGTGAGAAAGGTGGAACAGTCCGCGAAAGTCCCGTTAAATGAAAACAGTCGACCACGACTTGACCGGAGCCCTGATTTACTCGACTAACAAACAGTCCATGTGCCAGCTGATCCACTCCTCTTCGTCCCACATGTGGTTGGGTTCACCCCTTTCGCCAAGTCAACTGGAACGGACCACTACACCACAGCGTCACGGTCAGTGGTCAGACTATGTCGGCCAGACGGATCAGAAAGATCACCTCAGATGAGTAGGCATGTGAATGGGTGCGGCCTCTTATCAGAGTAGATAATCTGGTCATCAGCGGTGTGTAACGCATGCGTGGGTAACATATGTTCGTCGTAACGCACTGATGGGTTACGATTGTGGACGTATAAATATAGTAGATCCTAGTAAACAGTACGCTGGACGGTGGGCGGGCTCTTTCACATGGCACAGCGCCCAAGTCAAAGTGGTCATCTTCCGACAGTACACTGTGAAACCAGTGTCATAAAAGTCAACGTTTTACTGACCCCACTAATCGTCTCCCACTCAACGTATCCAATTTTTCATTCCTGGCCCTCAACGGATTATTACGAGTCTCGCCTCTCGGACTAATTGGGACCCGTGTGTCGATCCCATGAAGACGATATACTGTGATGAGTGTGAGGCATGGTGTTGGGCCTCCTTCAACAACTGCCTGTCCAAGACCAGAGCCCCCCACCCCCACCCCCACCCGGCTGGATCCGCCAGTGCTCCTAGCCCTGACCATACCTACTATCGTACGCACCCACGCACTACGGAATCACTTACGGGCACACTTTCACTAACACTGGCACACATACCAACACACACGCCCACATCACTCGGCGAAGGGTAACTCGATTTTCTCCACCGGTTACGACGAATCATGCACCGAAATGACACCACAAATCACTATGGCTAATTAAACTATTATGTATGTGCTGCATACGACTTACGAGCAGGAGGCAAGCCCAAAGGCAAAGTACAGGACAGTCACGATTAATAATTATCTAGCATGACTAACTACCTGTTGTTAAACGTTAACTGTTAGTTTTTGCTCCAAGGAAACAGAGCTGCTGTATTAAAAACAGCATATGCATGAATGGACGTTTAATATAAGTTTATGCAAACTTCATTTGTCTAAATCGGCAAGCGCAGCAGAGCTGATGCGAGCGGGCGAGCGAGCAAGCGAGAGAGGAGAGAGTTGGTCAGAGAACGACTCCCTCCCCTCCCCACAGGCACGTATTGTGCACCATATTGGTCAACGCTCGCCGATGGATCTGCAATCGCTCATGCACGATTCATTTCGGGCATGGGTACGTCGGGGTGACATTCTTGAAAACCATACGCTCAGCCCAAATGGTCGGAATAACCACAAGCATGGCGCATTCAATCACAGCTGTTGCACTGATTCAACGGTTCATCGGCTCACGAGCACTCACCTATAATGAAGTCATATTTCTTATAGAGCTGTTTTCTGTTGATGGGCCGCGACTCGGGGTCGACCAGGTCGTAGTGGTAGTAGGCGATGGCGGTGAGCAGCAGCGGCATGAACCACACACCGACGGCCAGCGCGGCGGCCGCTGCCGGCGCCGTCGCCGTCACTCCCAGCACGGGGATCACGCCCGGCATGGCGGTCTCACTCGCTCAACGACGCACACAAGTTGGTGGTGGTGGTGAGGGTGACCAGAGGGCCGGTTGATCGGCGGTCGGACACACGGCGTCACCTGCTCGCCGCAAACAGACGGCTGGTCGCCAACTGTGTGCCGTCGCGGCGCGGCGCGCGAGTCCGAGAGCCGTGGCTGGTAGGAGCTCTCCCGGCCTACTAACCCAGCGGCGCCGCCGCCGTCGCTCCACGCCGCCGCAGCCGCCGCCGACCAGGCCCGCCAGTTACGTCACTGAAAACTTTCACCACCCGCGCCCGCGCCCTCTTGGTCGGCAGCTTCCACACGTGCGCACGACGTCTGGCTGCAGGACTGCAGCGTCGTCTGCCCCCGGGCCGGCGCGGTCCTGTGTCCAGAGCGCCCCAGGCGCGCTCCTGCAGACCCCGCACCGGTAGGGACCCGGCAGATGAGGGCCACACCGCCCCGGGAGCCGGTGAAACGCCGGGGATGGCGCGCGCCTGCCTCCCGGGCAGTGACGGGGCGCCGGCTGACCCCCAGTGACCCAGTGAACTCAGCGGGGATCATCGCGGCCGGTTCGAAGCAGACCTCCGGGTGACGAAACTGAGCTCACGAGCGGTCGGCGCTCGGCACCTGCAGGTTATTCACACGTCCGTCCGGCCGGCCGGCCCGGTCGGGTGTTGTTGGGAATTTCTACATCAGCCTGCTGATACCAGTCCTGAGCGGGATGGGCATTAAACCCGGAACACTAAAGTAGGACAATAATTGTACGGTTCACGAGATGGATTGCCAGTGCATATGATAGGTATGGTATGCCGTTTAACTGAACACAAATTTATTAATTATATTGCAATGTAGGTATTGCTCTTTCTAACTGTTATATCCGTGGGCATTTTTCTTTATTGGCATTAAACAATTATGGATAAAAAAGGGGTAAATATAATACCTCACGATTACATAAGTGAACGGGAAAAGCGTTCCAATAATGTTTCATCGTGGTTTCAGGAGGAGCTAGAAGGGAATAATACTCCCAAAAACACTTTTGGTCACCTGTCCTGCAGTACGACAGCCATTCTCCTCTAACGTTGTCGACTGTTTTTGAATGTTTTTTTTTTTAATTTTATCAAAGCATTTGTTACGCGGATAAAGAGTTCTGAAGATATTATCTTTAAGTAGGTATAGTTATGGCATATTTAAACCTTTATTGTTGAGTGTTTTTAGACATATTTTTTAATTATAAAAGGACAAATAGCTCCTTACTTTGCTCCCTTACAACTGAGCGATACCTTGATGTTTTTGAATGTAGCAATTAGCTACCATTATCACAAAATAAATCATAAGCCAATTCAAAAAAGAGCGCACCCGGCGAACTTAACAACCATTTGGAAAACTGTCCCTTGGTCTATTTCCATACAGCATTTGCTCGCAATGTCATCCTGATTCCATTAGTTATAGGTATGTACCTACTTAAGTTAGGTCCTATGCACTACTGCACTAACACATGAAGCATTGACGCCGACGGTGTCAACTAGTCGGTATTGATCCCGGTTACTCACTTGGTGATAGCTGAAGCAGACTACTTATGGTTGAACCATACTGTGCAAAGTCGGCTCGTATGTAGATTGTAGGTACTTATCCGTTCCAGAAATAGTTAAACTGTGTAAGAATGATGCAAGCATGACTGAGATTTGGCAAACTACATTCAAATTCAGCTTGCGCTTGAGTGCGCATAAATGAGCTCGACGAGATTTCGTGCGTGCACGCAGCCCGCTACTTTCATTCAGGCGTGCATTCCGGGTGTCTCCAGGTGCATAAATCGTGAACCAGATGCTCACCAAAGGATCGAGAGATCGAACAGGCGCCTATTAAAACGGTACTGGCACTGTGACCCTGAGTAAATAGTTGCAGGGGCGAAGTCGGCAAGTCTACACAAACAGCATTTCCTATAGGTTAGATTGAGGAGCATGCCAGCGAAGCTCACCAAATATCAACAAGCAACATTTCCCTATTTCTGCACTTCTTTACGAACGATGCCATTTTAAGGCGTGGAGAAAATGGGTCAAAGGTTTTGCCTGCAGACGGATAAAATAGTTACAGAGTACGGAACCCCTGACCTGTGTGATCAGCGGGCGGTGGCCGCGAGGGCATGGGCAGCCGACGCAGCCGACAGGATCATGTCGCTAATCCGGCACGACACGTGTTAAAGGGTGTTGTTGGGCACAGATTTACAGAGGATCTGAGCTTTCTCGAGATTTAACCGTCTGGTGCGGACAAAACGTCTGGTACATGTCACACCGGCCCCGCCAGTCTGCTCGTTCTGGCATATCTCTGTTCAACACGGCACCAAAACCAAATACCTACAAATTATCCTCTCATACTTGTTCCTCCTCAGGTCTTGAATGCTCCATCACGACTGCATTTCAGTCAACTTTTAGCAGAGGTCATAGATAATATCACAAAGGTAACCAAAGGAAATTTTTCGGTCAGAGGTCTATGTTCGGTCTAATCCTGTTGACAACGACAAAAAGGTCGGACAATTTCACAACATGAATGCAAGAGTTAAACGAACGCATCGAAAACTAGCACAAAGTGCTACATTTTCGCAGATATTTTCATACAGCACCTTTCCACACAAAGTCCCATATCCTCACAGATCGCAAAACCTGGGGAGAGCGAATCCCTCTCAAACGTACGATTTTACAGTGCTACGAGGCGAAGAATTTCGTATCGCATTTCAGCCAATATATACAGCCGCTGTAAGAACAGAACACTTCTTTCATCAAAATCTATCAAATTATATGGTTACTCATCTCATTGGCGCCACCCCGGATCAAATTGGGAGCCGGAAGTCGACAGCCTGCGACCACGGCACAGAAACGGTCACCCTGTCGGCACCATGTTCTTGCGAATTTCCCAACGATAAGAGCCTCCGGCCTCAGGTGTGCGGCTCCGGCATAGCTAGGCCCGGAATTAGGCAAGCGTTTTTATGCGCCTTACTGAAGACACCCTCCGCCTCCATAGTGGCGACACGTCATAACATCTGCCCGTGAAACCGGGTAAAACACACAATTGGCCAGCATGCTCCATATACCTACTCGGGTAGCACAACTAATTATTACATGTCGCTGATGATGTTGATGTCAGAGCATTCCCAAAGATCTATCCAAGGAAAGACCAAGGGAACGACGTCCCACCTTTCCCTGGCACATGTAAGAACGGGTGAACGTGAACAATGGACATGACCGCACGTCGAAAGAATGTCGGCGGTTTACTTAACCGAAAAAAAAAACACCTGTCGAGCTCTGTTTGCGACCGCGTTAGGACTAGCGAACTAGCACAGCTTCGTGATAATGGGCGCAAATCTACCCTATCATCACGACACGTCGGAGACTGCCTTTCTCATCACAACATAGGTGTGAACTCTCTGGAATTATCTCAAAGATGTCATTCCCACACACGCTGTATTAGGTGAAAAAAGGTGCATTCGTGAGGTGCTGAGACGAGCATGAGAAGCGTGCCATTCGAGATGACCTAATAATGCAAAGAAGACGGAAATTGGAGCCTTGCATGATGAGATGATGACTGATGTCAGGCATTAAAATGTAGGTCATTTACGGCGCTAACAGTAATGCTGAGACGGAATGGGTAACACGAACCATGATAGTGGTTCACGGAAATTATTACAAATCGATTGGAGGGCAAGTTGCTACTCGTGTGGGAAAATGTGCTTGAAACACCAAACACCATTGTAAACCCATCAGAGAGGGTTTACACTGGTAAGCGTGTCTGGACACTGCTGTCATCATGGCGCGGGATATGATTAATAGAAACCATTGACACCTCACACCTTTTATGCAAAACTTTTACAAAGTAGGTCCCCATTCCGACACAACTTTCTTCGGTGGACATGGGCATCCAGTTTAGAGCTATTCTCATGTTCCATGTTTCTTTATCCATCGTTGCAGTCAGCAACAAGCGCGGCATTCGAAAGCCCGTCAAACATCATTCCTGTAAGCATTCAAGTTACACAGCTTTACCTAAATAGCAACTGAGGCATTGACGGCCAGCTTTCCAAATTTACCGGCAATTTCATGGTGTAAATACCGTCGCAGGCCTAGGGGTAGACAATAAGAAGGGTGACAAAATTTTTGATTGGGGGGTGTTTGAACACCCTCTGCGGTTTTTCGCGAATATCTAAAAAAACGGCCGCCCTTTTTGGCATACCTTATCATGCATCTTTTCTGCAAATGTTGTAAAAAATTTCAGACCCAGGTCACTTAAGGTCAGGTTACTAGGTTAGGTCAAGTGACCTCACTACACAAAAAAAGTTTCAATGTCTGCCATTAGCTACACCGAGTGATTGATCGCTTTGAAACTTTCAGCGAGTGATAAGATTAGCAGTGTGCACAAAATGTATATCTAAGAATTTTTATATCGGTGACCTAAGGCCAGGTCAATTTTGCGACCTCCCCATTAGGTAAATTGAAAGTCGCAGCTCTTTCAGACGAAAGTCATTATAAACACTCTAAAACACTGAATTACTAGTATCTTTGACACACTGAAAATGAAAATGGAATCCGTGACCCCTTTTATGCCCCTAAGGTCATCTCAGGTCACCAGTGGTATCTGACAGCTTTTTGCGAATAACTTTTGATAGGGGCATGCTAGAGCGATGAAAACACCTTAGTTGTGTTTGGCTCGACGATACAGATCGACTGATATGCAACTTGACCCTTACCGGTAGGGTCATGACCTTGACCTGAGGTCAAATTTTCAAGTTGACCTTTCAAGGTCAAATGATAGTTCGCTCGACGCGTCTTGACGAGAGGAACACGATGCCGGTAAAAGAAAGATCCTGCAAGGTTTGAGGCAAAAGTTATTGCAGAAAAACTGTTTCCGAAAAAAAAAAACGTTTTTTTGACATTTTCGCCTCCTGCAGGCAAAACTGTTGACGGTAGGTCAAATCTGAGGAATTACTCAGAAAGAGCTATCACGGCAAGCTGAGGATGGCCGATGGGATGTAGGTATAAGCAAGGTAAAATTATTTTTGTACGGCACAGTGTCTCAGCCCACATCAAATTTACGAACAATACCGACATGAGCTTAATACATCATTAGGTATAGCATATTGCCCTGTGCTAAATACAACTGGGTGCTGATAATTCTCACTTATCGCAATACCATTAGTCCAGATCAGAGGCCAGTTTTACCAACAGAAAAATAGCAGCCCGGCGCAATTTTTCTGTCAAAAACCAGCCGACGAGTTTCACCAACCAGGCGAAAAAATATCCGCCGGCGTGAAAAAATATCAGCCAGAAAAATAGCCAATGAGTTTCACCAACGGCAAATGCGGCATTAATGGAGTGTTATTTTGCGCCATTATTTGTAGAAAAATAGCCCAAAAAATAGACGGGCGACCCCGTCTATTTTTTTGATGTCGTGTTGGATCAATTGGCCTCATTTGTTACTAATTATCGTTATTTGCGCTTCCCAGTTGATATAATAATTTAGTATCATTCATGGCCAATTTGTAAAGCATCTGGGCTTCAAGATTAGAAGAGGAATACTGATGATATTGCGTAAAGAAAGAGCCTTTGTCACCAGGCAGGACCAAAAGGAACCAACAAGACGTGTTTGGTGTTGTGGTGTTAGTTTTTTCGTTTTATATTATCTTTTTGCTACAAGCACCCAACAGAAAGATGATAGCGCATTAACTAGTGGTCAGCTTACAAGTTCATTGCTCA